AAACAGTGAGTCCAAACCTTTAAACAGCAGCGTACGGGAGATTAGTGTCATATGCACTGTGGCTCTAACTGCACCTTCCTTCTTTTGGAGCAGTATTCATTGATGGACCTGCTTTCAAAGATGGTGGCGGGACAGCCTCACTTCGTCCGCTGTATCAAACCCAACAATGACCGCCAGGCCCATAAGTTTGACAGGGAGAAGGTTCTGATCCAGCTCCGCTACACTGGCATTCTGGAGACAGCCAAGATCCGCAGACAGGGCTACTCTCACCGGATCCTCTTCACCAACTTCATCAAGAGGTGAGTGGATGACCACACTTGACCATGTGTGCACAACATGCATGTCTCTTGCACCAACAACTGTCAGTTAAAGACTGTAGGACCTTTTACTGCACAGTTTAGTGTTTTCCAGCTCTGTTCCACTTTATTTGAGCTTGGGAAGATCTTGATACGTAACTGATGAGATAAACACATGAAAACACTAAACTGTGCAGTGCAGCGGTTCCTCAGGACAGAGAACCAGCAACTGCAGACAGTGAATATGCTTAAGCTTTTTTGCGCATGTTGTGCCAGAGGATGATGCAACTTTTTCAGACATAGAAAAAAAGCATTCATCAGCTGTGCAGTGCTGACTGTTATTAAGACACCTTGTGCTTGCAGGTACTTTATTCTAGCTTTCAGAGCGAACGAGGAGCCGGCTGTGAGCCCGGAGACATGTGCGGCTATTCTGGAGAAGGCTAGGCTGGAGAACTGGGTTCTGGGGAAGACCAAGGTAGAAACCCAGGCTGATATAAACCTGCTAGATGCTACTCTTTGCATGATGCCGTTAAGAACCATTTTTGGTTCCTTAAAGAAAAGAAAGGTTTTTTAACCCTTGTGTGGTGTTGGGGTCTGTGGGACCCATTTTCAATATTTACCAAAAGAAAAAATTATGTTATTTATTATTATCTCAACATCAGATTCCTCTGCCTTTGTTCATTTTCTGTGACGAACATATAAAATAACCCATTTTCAGTGCCTTCACACTGTAAACATCCCCTACACATTTATATTACACGTGGTGTTGGGTGAACACGTGGGGAATAACAGTGTGGAGGTGCTGTGTCCTTCACTCTGTTCTGCTCCTACATGGCCTGCTGTTAGCGTGTGTGTGTGTGTGTGTGTGTGTGTGTGTGTGTGTGTGTGAGGGTGGACAACATGCACAGGCTGCTGACTGGCTACAGCTGCTAAAGGAGAACCCTACACTGGCCACTTGTGATATTTTAAACATCTGGTATTTTTACAGAAATTGTTATGGCTGTATTTATTTATAAAAACAATAAAGCGGTGGGTCCATCAGACCACTGAGTGACAAACACATCAACACCACACAGGGGTTAAGGAACTATTTCTGTAAATAAGATGTGTGAACCCTTTTAACGTAGAAATAAACCTCCACATAATGCAAGAATCCTTAAATTGGTGAAGAAACTTTATTGGAAGGTTCTTTAAATCTTTAAAAGGTTCTTCACACACACACATCCCTTATTCAAACATGGGTCTTCAGGGAACCTGAAGTGGTTCATCAGTGACATCCATCAAAGAACACTTTGTGGAACCTTTTTAAAGAGTGTATAGCTGTGATGCTTTTTTATTTACTCAGTTCAGAGCATTGATGACATGATGGGAAAACTTGATCGCTAAGCTTCCTTAAAGTTAAATAAGTTTAGAGCAGCTCAAACAGTGTGACGTCTCAGAGGTAAAAGTGTTGACCATTCTTTAGATTGCTTTAGGACTTACGTAGAGATAAGCCTGTGTTTGCTGTTGTGTTCAGGTCTTTCTGAAGTACTATCACGTGGAGCACTTGAACCTGATGATCAGGCGGAACACAGACCGGATCATCCTGGTTCAGGCATACGTTCGGGGATGGTTGGGGGTCAGACGCTACCGCAAGATTTTGGAGAAAAGAGAGCAGAGTGCTGTAGTCCTGCAGTCAGGTATTCCGTAGTCTTAATAGCTTGGTTCAGTGTTGGGAGCTGAGATCATCTGTTAGGCTCCTTGGGTTGAGTTGTGAAAGTCTGGTTTAGCATGGATTATATATATATATATATATATATATATATACACACAAAAAGTAAGTTCAAAGGAGAAGAAAAAACATCATTAACTTTCAATGTAGGCGAAAATTTGGATGCCCCAAGTCACATTATTGTTGGTATAGTGTAGTGGGTAACACCTCTGCCTTCTATGCTGTAAACTGGGATCCAATCTCCCCCTGGGTAAGCACCCTACACCATACCAATTAGAGTCCTTGGGCAAGACTCCTAACACTACCTTGGCCTACCTGTGTAAAAACAAAAAAAAAATCTAATTGTAAGTCACGCCTATTAAGAGCGTCTGCCAAATGCTGTAAATGTAAATTACATTTTATTGATTTTCTAAATGAAAATAAGCACGTTCTCTACAAAGAACACATTTCAGAACATTTTAATACACAATTACTGTTTATATGCAGAGTTTAACATATTGGGGGGAAAAAATTGGCCTGTGCTAAAGTTGTGGCACATTTCATATGTTTTATATTTTTCACAATCTGTTAAGCTCAGAAAGTAAATAGAAACTGTGCACTAACATTTGCAGAAAAAGCCGTATTTAAGTGTGTTCTCTGTAGAGGATGTGTTAACTAATATTCACTTGGAGAATAAACAAAATGTGTAATTTGACAAGGGGTGTTCAAACTTTTGCACACAACTGTTTATTGTATTTACAGTTAAAAAGCATGTTTTAGTACCAAAATGAATTCCCAAACTTTAAGGCTCTAAATGACCTAGCACCTGCTTACATCACAGAACGTCTGTCTGTTTATGTTCCAGCATGTGATCTTAGATCTGCAGGTACTGACCTTCTGATCCCCTTCAGTAAAATACAGAAAACAAGACTCTTTGTTATTCTGCTTCTAAACTGTGGAACTCAATTCCACCTTTTTTCAGACAGTCCAGCTCAGTGCTCACTTTTAAGAAGCATCTAAAAACTCTTTAACTTTGCATTTAATTAAAACTCTGTCTCTATTTATTTTGATTTGTATCATTTTCTTACATGATTTTAAATTAGTACTTCCTTGTATCACTGTTAAGCTTTATTACACCTGTCAAATCAGCGAACAACATGAAGGGATCTTTGTTTTTTCACAATATAGCCAGATTGATTTTTATCATTCATTTTCACCCTGAGGGTCTGCTTTTGAGTCTCTTTAAAAGAACATGCTCCCCAAAAAAAATAACTTTTGGTGTCTGCCTGCTGTGGAAACAGACAATGTGCTTGACAGAACATCCCATCCCTCTCAAAATCACAGCCACACAAATTCTTTCTTTCACTCAAATCTTTCCTCTCAAATTTTCTAATTAGTTTTTTTTCTTAGTCATCATCATTATCTAAGTCTGTTCTATAATGTAGAGCTGACAAATTCCACTAGAATCTTTTTTGATGCATTTATTTCCACAAGTCTGACCAGTCAGGCTCTGGATTTTGCAAGGGAGGATTAAAGTTGTTTTGTTATGAGCTAAAGACCATGTCAAGGTAATTTAATTTCTGCCTTTATTTCCAGCATATAGAGGGCACAAAGTAAGAAGACAAGTGGCTGATGACAAAAGCAAAGCCAAGCTGGAGAACCTTATCATTAAGCTTCAGGCTGGTAAGAACAACATTAGTTACCACCAAAGCATAGTAGTAACATTCTCCTCAGTCAGGCTCCTCATGATCCTCATCAAAATTCTCCATTCCTGTATTTAGTGTGTCGAGGGTATCTGGCGAGGAAGACTCATAAGGAATTAGTCGATGAGAAGAACAAAGCTGCTGCCAAGATCCAGGCACACTATAGGGGGCACAGAGAGAGGAAAAGTTTCGAAAAGAAAAAGTATGCACTTAAATTACAGTACTCTAGACGAGATACAGCAGAAAGTACTAAGCAGAAGATATTAAAATGGCAGTAGCTTGCTAACATGCTTGTGCTGTTTTCGTTTAGAGAGGCCATGCAAAAAGAAAAAGCACAGAAGCAGGAGGTCTCACCAAAGGAAGACAGGCCTCCTTCAGAATCAAACCAGGAAGGTGAAGGAGCAGAGCCAGATGATGCGGATGAAAAGGCTGCCGTGGTCCTCCAGAGCAACTACAGAGGCTATCGGGAGAGGAAGAAGTTTAAAGAGCAACGAGAGCGGAACAAGACTCTGTCTGGAGATGAGCTTGCTGTCCCTTCAAGTCCTGGAGAAGACTCTGGATCTGAGACTGAAGAGCAGCTGGATGTTGTGGCTGAGGAGGAAGAGGCAGAAGAAGCAAACAAGAAGGCAGGAGAGGAGGATGTTGACACTGAGCAGGAGGCCAAAGCAGCCACGGTTATCCAGAGCAACTTCAGAGGTCACAAAGAACGCAAGAGGCTCCAGGAGGAAGGGAAGCTCCCGGCCAGAGGGACGAAGGCCAAGAATACCCAAGCGGAGGAAAAGGAGTCTGTTGCAGAGTCCTCACCGGGACAGGAGGAAACAGGAGACGATAAAAACACTGCACAGCCCACAGGAGGAGAGGAAGAGGAGGCCAAAGCAGCTGTGGTCATCCAGAGTAACTTCCGTGGCCACAAGGAGCGCAAGAGACTCCAGGAGGAAGGGAAGATTCCGAAGAAGAACAAGAAGGGAGAGGAAGTGGTGGAGCCACCACTTGTAGGCCAGGATGCTTTAGCTGGAACCCTAGAAGAAATACGAGAAGAGCCCAGCACAGGCCAGGAAGATCAAGACGAGGAAAGAGCAGCCACTGTCCTGCAGAGCAACTACCGAGGCCACAGAGAGAGGAAAAGACTCAAAGAACAGAGAGAAGGAGCGAAAGGTGCTCCAGGACCCCCAGATGAGGAGCTGCAAGAAGAGGAGATGGGGAGGGACGAGGAAATGGGTGTCCAACTGGAACGAGAGAAGGACGCTGTGACAGAAGAGGGACAGTACGATGAAGAGCGAGCGGCAGTGAAGATCCAGAGTAACTTCAGAGGGTATAAGGACAGGAAGAACCTTAAGGCCACAGCACAGAGAGAAGAAGAAGAAGTAGAAAGGTTCTCCAAACAGGTGATGACCCAAGACATTTTTGGTTTGTGTGTAAAGGGCATGAGACCACACCACATCCTTGGGTTAGGACTCCATACTCAGAACCAGGCTGAATGTGTGTGTTGCGCTGGTACGAGTGGATCAGACACAGCAGTGCTGCTGGAGTTTTTAAACACTTCAGTGTCACTGCTGGACTGAGAATAGTCCACCAACCAAAAACGTCCAGCCAACAGCGTCCTGTGACCACTGATGAAGGACTAGAAGACGACCAACACAAACTGTGCAGCAGCAGATGAGCTATCGTCTCTGACTTTACATCTACAAGGTGGACTGACAAGGTAGGAGTGTCTAATAGAGTGGACAGTGAGTGGACACAGTGTTTAAAAACTCCAGCAGCACTGCTGTGTCTGATCCACTCGTACCAGCACAACACACACTAACACACCACCACGTCAGTGTTACTGCAGTGCTGAGAATGATCCACTACCCAAATAGTACCTGCTCTGTGAGGGTCCATAAGGGTCCTGACCACTGAAGAACAGGGTAAAAGGGGGCTAACAAAGTATGCAGAGAAACAGATGGACTACAGTCTGTAACTGTAGAACTACAAAGTGCTCCTATATAGTAAGTGGAGCTGGTCATAATGTTACGCCTGATCAGTGTACATCGTAACACTCAATTTTAAGTGTTTTAACTGAAGAAAAGAATGCTTTTTCTCATGTAATATACAAAAATAGCTAACTATACTTGGAAAATATATGATAAATATGTGTAAGAATAGATGAGAATAATATTTTTGTAAAACATATAAAATATATATGCACATAGCTAACTAGATAACTATTCTTAATAAATTGCTGGTTTTGTGTTGTAGCAAGTGAATGGCTAGACTTCTACTGGCTTTTCTTGTAGTCAGTAAAAGGCACACATTGCCAGCTAGTGTACAGAGGTAGACTGGTTAAATTGGGAATTCAGAGGTGGGAGAGCCCTGTTTTTACATGGGTTTCAACAATGTGGGAACAATATAGTTTTGTTGTTTGTAATTTATGTGGCATTATATAGAGTATTCATCACTATCATAAAAATGTAGTTAAAAATAATCTGTTTCTGTCTTTATGGCTTAATGAAATCAAACGATTTACTTGTCTCTAAAAAAAAAAAAACAGTGATACCACCCCTTTGACATTAAGAACGCTTTCCGTTTTTTTGTTTTTTACTTGCATGCTGGAGCAGCTCCTCCTGTTTTTAAGAGACTGCTGCTAGGCGCGATACAGCTTAGCCAGAAAACTTGTGAAATACTTCCACTTTGTGCTGCACTTTACTGCCAAGTGTTCAATGCCATCCAATCAGCTATAACTGTGGTTTGCACAGGAGGAAAGTTCTGTCACTCACTCTTTTAGAAAGTGCACTTAATAATCTGACACCTGCAGAAAATCAGATTTTGTCAGTAATTTGTTCAACGCAATTACATGCACTTTTATACACGTTTTTTTTTTTATGAAAAAATTGTCACTTTACTGGAAAATATGAATACACATCATCTAGAAGATAAAGATTTTTTTTAGATTTTTTACCTCTTCGTTTCATCATGCATGTTGTTGGTTTGAGTGTCACTCCAAAAGCATTGTGTAACTGAAACAAATGAAAGAAATCAGAGTAAGTGTGCTAAAATGATTACTGAGCTAAAATCCAGCTCTCTTTATCAGATTTCTAGATCGGATATCGGCCTTAATCCTATCTAAGAAATTGGAGTATGCTGTTTACATGATCGCTTGAATATTTGTATAACTGCCGAAATCTGATTGTGATCAGATTATTAAGTACATGTAACACACTCACTATGTCCATGAACCCTTTCATGCAGTGGTAGGTAAAATTGGCAAGAGGACACACAAATGTGTGACTGTTCAAAGGTTATCTGTTTATTATATCGTATACTTAAATGGATCTCATTAAAACTGTATAGGAAGCAATTAAAATTCACATCAAATTACTGTACCAGGCACGAACCAAAGCGCTGCTCCTGTGGATTTTGGCCCAGTTTAACCCCCTGGAAATGGAGACTGTTCAAGTTTAAGCTTTAGCTGCTAAAACCAGCCCAAGGAAGAGAACAGCACAATCATTTCATCTAAAACTCATCAAATGTGCATTTTTGATATTGAAAATGTTCAAGATCGATAATCACTATTATCGTTTTATTGCCCAGCTCTGTGCCCTACTTCTGACTATTGTCAGTGTGCCAGTAAGCTGGGCTCTTAACCCCAAGTTCCTTCAGGCAGTTCCGTCTCCCCAGCTGTAACAAAGAGCAGGAACTGCTCAGTGACCTTACCATGACAAAATAAAGGTCGAAATAAATCACAGGGTAGTGATTCATATCGTTGTCTGAGCTTTTTTTTCAGTCTGGTAACCATGATTTAATGCTAATAAGAGTCTGTTGAGCATTTGTCTCCACATATTTGTACAGCCCATGGGATCAAACAGACTAAATGGTGTCAGCTGTTCTGACATACTGTGCAGTTTTCCTTTTTGGCAACTGTGACATTTTCTTTTGTGCTTCCATTCAGATAAGCGGTGTCTCTCAGGACTACCTGTCTCTGCAGCAGAAGCTGAATGAGATCATACTGGCCCATCAGATCAACCCTGCCAGCAATGGCATGTTTATGAAGGGACAGACCCTCAATGGCTATGCCGGGACCCATCAGCAGCAATCAGGTGAAGACATATGAAAGGCATTTCACATACAGTACACTCAATAGATTTAATTTCCTCAATATGAATTCCTGAAAGAGTAAATAAAAAAACTTTCTTACTCAAAACGCATTAAAATGAAAAGAAGTCAGGCCACAGCTCCTGGACAGACAGCTGACAAAGCAGCAAGTCTCCATTTTGCTGCTCTGTCACAGCAAAGTACACTGTCAAGTCTGAGCAGCAGTGGCTTTTGACGTTGTCCTTTTAACCTCGCTATCCAAACACACCTTTAGACATCCCTAAAAGATAAAAGCTCTTGGCAGATATTCTGCTACATGGCTCTCTTAAAGCAACGTTAAGGGAACAGTTTCTGTGGGATAAAAATCTAATTTAATCCTTACAAGAAATGTGGTTGAATTTAGCTCAAAACATGTTTAGTGTCCAAAGTTTGCTTCCTTAGTTTTTTCTTAAGTGCTATGTTATCCCAAGTGGTTGCTAAGGTGGCATCCAGCAGCATATTTGTAACAATGCCATGTGATAACTTTTATAATAACATTTTTGGACATTTGATTCCTGTTAACACCACTGTAAACAATTCTGACCCAATAGGTTTTCCAAACAGTTTTGGAGCATTTCTACTTTAATACTTACATGGAATGTAGTTGAATTTAGCTAAAACATGTTTATTGTCCAAAGTTTGCTTTCTTAATTTTGTGCTGGAACTACAAGGCTAATGTAGTTATGTCTTGGCTGACTGACTACATTTGTTTTAAAGGGGTGTTTTGAACATTTCAGCATAATCCAGCTGTTGAGGTGTAAACAAAGCCATTTAGAGTGATATGATGGGAAATGCTTACTGACTTTCTTTACAGTGGTGGTGATGGGAACCATCACAATGTCTACAACACAAATACAGCTGTGCTTGCATAGAGTGGATCAGACACAGCAGTGCTGCTGGAGTCCTAAGTGGTTGCTAAGGTGTTGCTAGGCTACTGCTGTGTTATCCCAAGTGGTTGCTAAGGTGTTGCTAGGCTACTGCTGTGTTATCCCAAGTGGTTGCTAAGTGTTGCTAGGCTATTGCTGTGTTATCCTAAGTGGTTGCTAATGTGTTGCTAGGCCATTGCTATGTTATCCCAAGTGGTTGGTAAGGTGTTGCTGGGCCATTGCTATGTTATCCCAAGTGGTTGCTAAGGTGTTGCTGGGCCATGCTATGTTATCCCAAGTGGTTGCTAAGGTGTTGCTAGGCTATCACTAGACTATTGCTATGTTATCCCAAGTGGTTGCTAAGGTGTTGCTGGGCCATTGTTCTGTTATCCCAGGTGGTTGCTAAGGTGTTGCTGGTCCATTGCTAGGCCATTGCTGTGTTATCCCCAGTGGCTTCTAAGATGTTGCTAGGCTATTGCTCTGTTATCCCAAGTGGCTGCTAAGGAGTTGCTGGGCTATTGCTCTGTTAACCCAAGTTGTTGCATGAGGCATTGCTAGGCTATTGCTGTGATATCCCATGTAGTTGCTAAGGTGTTGCTAGGCCATTGCTATGTTATCCAGCAGCATACTCGTAACAATGTCATGTAATAACTTTTATAATAACTTTTTTGGACATTCCTATTACCACCACTGTAAACAATTCTGACCCAGTAGGTTTTTCAAAAGGTTTTGGAGCATTTCACATCAGATCACTCTGAATGACTTCATTTACATACTAACCATTTAACTGTGTAGAACTTTTTAATTGGTGGGACCTTGACTTAATGTTTATTAGCAATTTTTCTATCATCATGAGCTACAACTACTACTATTATAAGTAATAATAATAATAATAATAATATAATACATGGTGTTTAATAAATACTTTAGTTTTCAGTTACAACATGTAAAGCTACATTTAACAATAGAATTATATGGGACTCCTATTGAAATCATTGACAGCATTGGCGTTCTTGCAGAATGTGAGTGAACATATTGTGACTGATTCACAAGGTAGAGCAGTTAATTCTGGGTTCTCAGTGGATTCCTTTGATTATTGCATTCATTTGTGAATTTTGCCACTGTATCTACCACTGCGTCCTGAATGAATCCAAGAAGCCCGGTGTAACTAACTATCGATGTAAATTAGAATAGTATGTTCTGTTTAGCCAAATTACAGTTTGCAGCGTTCATTCTGCCTCAGGTTTTTGTTTGAATAGTTCCTCTTGCATCTAGTGCTGCTTTTGACAGTGTAAGCATCAGCCTGAGCTGATTTTATGTAGTTTATGTTGGGTAAGTAGCCACAGTGTCTGGTTAGTGAAGCAAAACTATCCGTCAGATATAAATATTTACTCAGAGAAAACTGACAAAATGGACCAGATTTATGGATAAATTGTACATATGAAGCTGCCACATGCAGCCCGCGGGCCGCTACTTTGAGACCCCTGCTTTACTGTTTGCCTGCACGTTGTAACCCACCTTTGCTGTGCTTGTGTTCGTTTTAGAAACCTAACCTGTAGCAGGCAGCGAGTCTTCATTCTGCTCAGTCGTAGCTGTTTGCCTGCATGGAGATTTTATCAACGAATGAAGTTCTCTTTTTTCTAGTGCTGCCTGATCGTATCAAACGCAGGAGATGTCAAGTGCCAAAACAGGAAAGACGCTTCTCGACAAGACGTGTCATCAGAAAATTCCCTCCGCTGCGCAGATCTATTGTTCATTTGATTTCTTCAGATGATACATGTAATTGCTTTACGAGGACGTGGGGGCTGGGGGGGGGGTGGTAAGATCAGTATGTGTTCTTCGGTCGTGTCCACTGTGGAGGTGCAGAATCTATTATCACAGACTCCACTTGGTGTGCAGGGGAAACTCAATTATTTTGTCAGGCATGATTCCTGTTGTTTTGTTGTGATTCGCTGCCTGTGGTGATTACCCTTTTTGCGTTAATGTCTCTGTGGTCATCTCAGTTTCAGAACTTTCCTTGAAGCAAATCTCAGTGCTCTTTCGTTAATGTCATATGCTGGTGTAAAAGTTGTTATCGACACACAAGTAATTTCAGCCTACATATTTGCCTGCAGTTCAGTTTTGCTTGTTTAGTGCTTTATACAGTAGAACTTGTTCCAAAGCAGCTCTCCAGAAATGCAGGTCCAGAGCCCTAATGATCAAACCACAGGTAGAAACACTCAAGGAACCAAGCCTGAAAAGGGAGAACCTCCTAAGAGCACAAGGTAGAAACACTCGGAAGAACCAAGACTCAAAAGGGAAAATGTCATAAGAGCATGAGGTACAAACACTCAGAGGAACCAAGACTCAAAAGGGAAGACTTCCTAAGAGCATGAGGTAGAAACACTCAGAGGAACCAAGACTCAAAAGGGAAGACTTCCTAAGAGCACAAGGTAGAAACACTCAGAGGAACCAAGACTCAAAAGGGAGAACATCCTAAGAGCACGAAGTAGAAACACTCAGAGGAACCAAGACTCAAAAGGGAGAACATCCTAAGAGCACGAGGTAGAAACACTCAGAGGAACCAAGACTCAAAAGGGAGAACATCCTAAGAGCATGAGGTACAAACACTCAGAGGAACCAAGACTCAAAAGGGAGAACATCCTAAGAGCATGAGGTAGAAACACTCAGAGGAACCAAGACTCAAAAGGGAGAACATCCTAAGAGCATGAGGTAGAAACACTCAGAGGAACCAAGACTCAAAAGGGAGAACAGCCTAAGAGCATGAGGTAGAAACACTCAGAGGAACCAAGACTCAAAAGGGAGAACATCCTAAGAGCACGAAGTAGAAACACTCAGAGGAACCAAGACTCAAAAGGGAGAACATCCTAAGAGCATGAGGTAGAAACACTCAGAGGAACCAAGACTCAAAAGGGAGAACCTCCTAAGAGCACGAGGTGGAAACACTCAGAGGAACCAAGACTCACAAGGGAGAACATCCTAAGAGCATGAGGTAGAAACACTCAGAGGAACCAAGACTCAAAAGGGAGAACATCCTAAGAGCATGAGGTAGAAACACTCAGAGGAACCAAGACTCACAAGGGAGAACATCCTAAGAGCATGAGGTAGAAACACTCAGAGGAACCAAGACTCAAAAGGGAGAACCTCCTAAGAGCACTAGGTAGAAACACTCAGAGGAACCAAGACTCGAAAGGGAAAACATGAGGAAGGGACAATGAGAGGAACCAAAACTCTTTGCTTGAGGAAGAACCATGTATGGGAACCAAGACTCAGAAATAAAAATGATCTAAGAGCCTGAGGAAGGAACACCATGAGGAACACATACAGGATCTTAATATGAGAACATAGGTGAGATTAAAATGCCTGGAAACTTCAAGATCGTGTTGCTTAAGGACTAAATGTTTAATATATAGTGACCTAAATTGCAACTGTAATTTTTTTCTTCAGATGGGAATTGACCATTAGTTTATCATAGCTGTGAGATACTCTTTGGAAAGTTCCAGCCTAATAATAATAAAACTGAACAATCATAATCAAACTTTATTATTGTTGCTGTCTCTGAGTCGCAGCAAAGCTAAGTGGCCTTTTGAATGCCAATCACATTTCTCTTTTACAAAAGGTCATTAAATGCTAATCATGTTTCATGAGAAAGTGCACCTGCAATTACGTCAAGCGTTAATATGAGAGCCTTAAATTGGCTTCATTCCTTCGAGCAACGGAGAATTACTGATGACCTTTTGAGGGGCATGTTCAATAAATATGACAAACTTCCCCCCTCTGCGTGTGCTAAAGCCGGGCAGGCGTTGATTAATTGGCTTCATAGTGGACTTTGGCTCAGCAGAAAGCTCTGAGCTTCAGGTACCAAATACTGTGACAACAGATTAAAGATCACATTTGTACCTTATGTGCATGATCTCAATAAGCTTAGAGTAAATAGGATTTGGCAAGAGATATGTAAATGACACTGTCTCTCTCCCTCTCACTCTCTCTATCTCTCTCTAGCTCTCACTCTCACACACACAGCTAATGTATTACCTCTTAAACTCTTGTTTCTAAGGTTGTTAGTGGCCCTGCAAGCTGATCGATCTATTTCTATGATAGCGTAAAACTTTTATAACATTTTTACTGACAGCAAAAAAATGATTTATTATTTTAGGCAGTTATATAGTAGTTGAGTAATCTAGCAACTACTCAAATAATCGAGTAATCATATACGCAGTTTTTAAGAGCAAATACTTCATTTTATTTCATACGTGAAAATTTGTAACCGCAAATATACATGCAGTAGTAAGCTCCTGCTGGTGTGGGTTTCCTCTCTTTCAGTGACGTGTAGTGAGTGAGTGATCATAATGGTTTTGCCCATTGGTGTGTGTATATGCATTTGAGAGTAAATATAATGTGCACATGCTCATATAACCATATAAATACACTCAAAAACAGACACTCGCACTCACAGTGCTCTGTAAACAGTGCTCATTGTATGTCGTGACCAGCCAGCGAGTTCTGATTGATCGCTGTTGGAAAATCATGAATTGTGTTGCCGCAGGGTTAAACTGTACTGACAGTGTGGCTCGATAAGGGCAACAGGGTCAGGCTTTCACTCACAGTGTTCTTGTGCTCTAATTCAAAGATTTGCCCCCTTTCTCAGCCACTTTGAGCTCTGACCCCAATAGACCTACCTCACAGGAATGTGAGGTAACAGTGTTTCCCTGCAGAGGCCCTGCTTTCAGTCTCTTTCTGGGGGATTTTACAGTATTGCTCTGTCTATTTGCCAAAAACTATGGGAAACGCAGTTGCCGATTCTGATGTCATGGACCAAAATCAATAACCGCATGAACCATGGCTGGACCTGTTTTTTTTAATGTGGACCAAATAACCATCACTAGTTTATTATTATGCTAAATCCACTGTAGGTCTACTAGGTCTACCTGTATCATAGTAGATGCATTAACACTGGCTGCCCGTATCTTTCAGGACAGAGTTTAAACTTCTGCTCCTAGTTTTTAAGGCTCTAAGTTTATGTTACCAACATGTGATCTTAGATCTGCAGATACTAACCTTCTGCAAACACCTTCAGTAAAATACATAAAACAGAGAGAGACTCTGTTATTCTACTTCTACACTGTGGAACTAAATTCCATCTTTTATTAGAGTCAAGCTCAGTGCTCACTTTTAAGAAATATAGCATTTAATTAAAATTCGACCTTTTGGATTTTATCTTTTTAATTTGATCTATATTATAGCCTTATATGATTGTAAATTAATACTCATAGTTTCTTTTAGTTTCTCGTAGTTGTTAAGCTTTATCACCTGTAAAGCACTTTGAGTTGCCACCTGCATGAAAAGTACTCTATATATGAAGAAATTATTATTATTATTATTATTATTATTATTATTATTATGCAATTTTGCAAAAGTCAAGCTTATATTAGACTTGTCTTAGTACAACAAATTTTTGTTGTACTACGATTCAAGATTTTCACACCCATACCAAGTTTGTATCACAGTGCTCTTCACCAAAACAATAGTTGGCAAAACCAGATAAAACCCAGTGTTTATTGGATAGAACACACAAAAGTATTCAAATTGTTACAGAACAGCAACACAATACACAATCAAACATCAGAGTTAAGTAAGCCTATTTAAAAGGCCCCGTTCTACATTTTTCTTGTATTTTTTCCTAAAGATCACTTTTAACATTTGTGTGGTTTTATGTGTGAAGGACAGTAGTAATTGAAGAGCTTCGTTCCAAACTGCTTTTAAATATAACCATTTTGGATGTGATGAATTTTTAAAGGAATGATAGCTGACTTATAACGGAAAACACATTAATTTTAATACCACCTTAAAAAAGTCATCATAACATAGTACTGTTATTCTTTTGCATGTGTAAAGCTCACTCTGACCAACACGTTTTCACTATCATGAAAAAGTGTTTTCTAATGTGTTTTGCAAAGCAACCATTCAATTCATCTTTACGTGACCATTTTGCAACTTTTCTTTGTCTTGTAAAATTTGTTACCATGCCTTTTAGACTGATATGTGCATATGAGCTCTTTTCTGATTGGCTGTCCTGTACTGAAACACTGCTTACAACTTTAGTGTCAGTGGGTGGGGCTAAACTGTAGTAAGCTGAACAGATGGATAAATGTAAACGTGTTTACAAAAACAATCAACAACAACTGGCTTTTTTACTGCTTAATTTCCATGTATGGACTGTAAGGACTGGTGAACAGTGTGACATAAAACTAGCAATCCTTTCTTTTAAAAACGAGAGGAAAATCAGTTGGCCATGATGTGCACCTTTAAATAAAGAATCTTATAAGTTAGAAAATAGAAATTTAACATTGCATTGTTGTCGCATTCTGAGAGTATTTAACTTCTGAGTTTTTTTACAACTCTTGTTTATATGGTGTAAAGTAAGCATTGTAAGTTTTGGTTGTTGGTCGTGTTGGTGGGGCTGAGTGGGGGGTGGCACTGATGCCTGACTCCACCTATCAAAACTATGTTCCACGGACCATAAATAAAAGTGTTATTACAGCGTTTCCAGTCTAAGATGGCTGTTTTATCTCTGCTCCTCACAGTTGATCCAAAGCAGACGCGGACGCCCCGCCGAACCCAGAAACCAAAGACGCTCAACACGCCTGAGGACTCCACTTACTACAACCTCATCCACGTGAGCTCACGCTTTGTCACGACTGTTCACGGCACAGCTTCTCTTCTGCTTCCTGTGTGTTCAACTTACAATAACTCACACTGGCTCACCTTTATATTTCCACAGCGGTCCGTCCAGGACGACAAGAAGAGGCCCCGGAAGCAGAGGTAAATGAATAAAGCGTGTGTGTCTCAGAGCTCTTCTCTGCTCTCTGTGTGGTGTTTTATTAGCAGAGATTATGCCGGGGTCTGTGGGCGAAGTTAATAAGGAAGGATCGGTGCCAGAAACTGGGTCAGAACTTAACGTCCTGAAACACAGCACATTTTCACAGGCTCAACAACTGTGCTTGGAGGAACTGCAATTATAAAGTCACTGTAAAGGTCTAGATTGATTCAATATTTATCTAATAATCTGTCACAGTTATTACAAAATCGCCTGATCGCAGTTATTTTCCACAGTTGTTCACTTCCACTTTCGTACATTTACATCACCGCTAGCTGGTGATTGCAGAAGAGAGGTGGATAGTTAACGTTGGTGCTGGGGACGCGAACATCACGTCTGTATTTATTTCTCTAAAGCTGTGGGGTGTTTCCAGTGGTTGTATGACACATTTGTGCAATGCGTGCTGGGTGTTGAAGTGAGTTAGTGTGACTTATGTTGTCGTCTTTCCATGCAAGTTGTAAGTGATAAAATTTAAATGCATTTTTTAAAAATTGCAATTTTTGCTGCTCAGCAGCTTTTCTCCATCAAATTGACCCTTTGGCAGTAAAAACTCTTTACGCAATGACATCATTCCTTGCAAATAAATGCTGAGGTTTAACTTAAAAATGTTCTATTTGCCATGTTTCCATCTCTAATTTCATGCATGTCACCACTTGTATAGCTTTGGCTATTCTGGCTTCCCCATAACCTACTGATAAGGAAATTCTGTTTTTTTATTATTATTATTATTATTATTATTATTATTATTATTAGATCTGAACTGTTATGCGAGAGATCACGTATCTCTGCCATACAGAGCTGTTTGAGCACTTTCCTTTTAAAAAGTCTGTGGTCTTTTCCAGACATTTTTCTCTGTAAGAGCAGAAAAGTGGCAGCATTCCTTTTTAAAACGCTCTTCTCCTCATCAGCCCAGCTCTACCTCTCCGCTGTGCTAATTGTCTTTGTTTGTGTTTGTTGTAATTTAATTATCACATTAAATGTATGAGTAAATGTATTATTTCTCCCCCAAAAAAGCTTCCAATGTAAGGTTTTGCAACATTTCAGATATCAAAATGTTTTTTACGCTCAACAGAAAAAGTCGTTGAAGTTCATAAAATCCTGCTGACAATTTCAATTCCCATAGCCTACATCGGCAAACTACTTAAAGTGTAACAACTTTTCCACAAAAAATCCCTTTGAATGAAATTGTTGCTATTGACGCAAAAACAGACACCATCTGACAGTAAAAAAATAACCAAATGTGACTGTTTTACTCCGAATGATCATCTGTAATTGTAATTGTAATACAGCGTCCAATATAACATACAGTGATTTGCAAGAGGCCCATTTTCAAACTGCATTCTATTTTAAACAGTAATGTACATGGTTGGGGATGGACAGCAGCTGTTTACGTGCATAATAAAGAGTGAGAAGGGTGACAAGAAAGTTCTGTGCCTGAGAGAAGGGAAAGAAAAAAGGAGAGTGAGAGGGCAGAAGGGAAAGACAGAGAGAATGAGGTAGAGAGACAGATGTGCTGTGGCTCTGGTGAAAAAAGACGACCTCCAGAGTCGCTCCTGGTGCTCATCAGAGAGGCCGAGGAAAGACGGAAATTTAGAGAACAAACAAACAGGCTCCTTTCTCAACCTGAGCATCATCATATAGCATTTTTGGCAGTAGTGAGAGAGTGAGGGAGAGAGAAAGAAGGAGAAGCAGCCGGATTGGAGGCTGTAACTGTGCTTCAGTGGAGCTGAATGATATAAGACTGACTGAGAGGCCTTGAGCACTGGGGTTCGCCAGCCACATAGATCGCTGTTACATAACTCTTCCGATAAAGTGCCGAGACTGAGAGGAACCCACTGGAAAAGCAATTCCAATTTGAGTCCATCACTGCCAGTGAATCAGCTCCAAGACCTCCAAGCATAAAGAACTGGGCCAGTTAGCAGTGAATGCTACTCACCACTGTGTAATGAGCCCTAGTTCATTGCTCACTCTGCAGCCATAATAAGCTTTATGTGTGTCCTGGACGGTGACCCCCCTGCTAACAGCTAACACAGTTAGCTCTGAAGTGCAGTCAGCATGCCTTTTATTGAGCTCTGTGAATGCTCTATGAATTCTCCATTATTCTAGTGTCACTCTGAGCAGAAAAAAGTGTGACTGGCATTTCAAGTGTTTACACTGCATAACGGAAAGAGAAGGCTTGATTTGGCAGATCTCATAATGACTGCAGTGTCTTCTCTGTCTGGTTACCAGCCCTAAGAAACTGTTGGACATTGATGACCAATACTATCAGGGTTTGAGCAGTAGTAAGTCCACAAGCTGCCTGCCCAGCGAGACCCAGACGTCCAGTGAGTTAAATGCCCCAGCAGAAAGGAGACAGTCCACTGAGAGGCCTCTGTCTGACGTTCCAAAATCTGACACCCCGAAAGCCCCGAAAGAGAACAGGTAAGTACACTGAGACTTCAAAGGATAAAACTCTTATAGGTCCACTGTATATTGTGCAATTACAGACTGTAGTCCATCCGATGTCATGCACAAATAGTCAGCTGCCCTCTAATCCTTAGATCTCTGAAGTTGCGCATCGTTCTGTAGTCCCATATTAGCAACTCTGGGTCTAAGCAGTTTTCTGTATGAGAAAAATGGCATGTGGTAAATCACAATTCCAAACCTGATAAGTTTTGTCCTGTGTACATTTTTGCCCTGAGTGTCCCTGGATTCTTGGAATTATGAGGTTATTTAGCAGCCAAAATATGAAAAATGCTACATCCTACAAACAGGCTGACACTTCTGCACACTGAAATGACATCACATTAAATAAGTCTACTATTACACTATAACAATATTGTATAGCAACATAAGCTACTCAAACTGTAGCCTAAAACTGCACTATGTAAGTTTTGGGGATTTGGAGACCTCTCTGGTGGAAATCTGTAATTGCATGCAACATGTGGAAGAACGTTTAGTTAACATGGATTGTACTTCGGACCCCATCTCCGAGTGGATGAATTTGATGTTTGCAAATGTGTTAAAAGAGTATTCAAGGCGAGGCAAGGCAAGTGTATTTGTATAGCACCTTTCATACACAGCAGCAATTCAAAGTGCTTCACACAAACACAGAAAAATAAAAGCATTAAATAATAAAAATCATAGAAAGTTAAAATTGAAATGCATTGTACAGGTAAATGACAATAAAATAGAAAGCAAAATAATGCATTAAAAGGAATAAAAATGCTGTAGAGGTATTCATAAAGTTGTGTTATTCATATTTTGGGTTTGAGACCTAAACATCGAACCGGACCTTTTTGAGCCTGTGCATGTGACGTTAATAAGTAAAGACACATGACGTGGTCTGGAAACTCCCACGAAGTCTGACCCAACGCCGCTGACGTTTGAATTATTATTTCAGGCTTTACTATGCAACTCGCAGCAGTGCACACACAATATTTTAGCGTGTTCTGTCCAGCCTGGCTTACACCAGAAATGACCATGAAGTGCTGGAAGTGATTGGATGTACAGACGGCAATGTATTGCACACTAATCAAGAAGTAGTCAGTCCTGCTGTGAGACGATCAAAAATTTACTCAATGAGTGATTCAAACAGCCAATCAGAGAGCTAGACAGAGGCAGATAAGAGTCGGCATCATGTTTATAATGTATGAATCCAGACATCATGGCACGCTTGGTAACACTTTCTATGAATGTCACCTTTGTAAGCATCTATAAACACATTTATAACATGTTTTAATGTATTTATAAGGCATTACAAACATGGTTATAAATATTTATAAAAAAGAATTACACTGAATTACACTTTATAGCCATGTTTATTATACATTATGAATTGTTAATATAATGCATTATAAATAGTGTTAATAACATGTTATAATGTCAGTGCCAAAGAAGTCAGTCCCAGCTTGGAGAGCGTAAAGTAAAGACAAATACCAAGCTAACGGTGGTGAACATTACCTTTCCCACATTGGGTAAAACACTGATGGCAGCACTAGTTTAAACTATGACATTTGAAGCCTGTAATGCGCTTTATTATGTATGTTTTAGTGTTTCAGTAAATTCTTCAGTAAATGCTTCAACTTGAAGCCTCACTCTGAACACTGGAGGAGGCTTTAGTACAGTACGCTTCACTTTACTTAGAGTGGACAAATATGACTTATGAGCTCTTATAATTTGTTATGATCAGTACTTATAATGTATTATGTTAACAATTCATAATGCATAATAAACATGGCTATAATGTATAATGCATTTTTATAAATATTTATAGCTATGTTTATAATGTCTTATGAATGCATTATAACATGCTATGAATGTGTTTATAGATGCTTACAAAGGTGACATTCATAGAAAGTGTTACCACATGCCAGGTCCAGTAAGTTTAGCTTTATTTGTGTCATGTGATCTTAGGAGATCTAGGATTTTAAGTTCTTATTCGTAGCCCAAACTCATTATGTGTGTTATTCTCTCTCTCTGCCTTGTCCTCGAGTCTGAGCGCCCGCATGACAAAAAGACAAGAAATTCTGTGACAAACTGACGTTAAGTCTGTGCTGCTCTCTGTTTTAGAAATCTTAAGATTTTAAAAGTTGTGTAGTGTACAGCCAGCCGTAGTGTGGTCAAGAACTGCCCACTTTTACAGATAAGGGCTGTTTGACTGACATGCAGAATAACTGACCACAGACTGGTGTTTTAATGCCACAAATAACGCTCATGAATAACTTTGAGATGTCATGCCATGTACTTCACAAACTTTTTCAGTCTAGGGAATTTATCCTGCTCAGTCAAGGCACTCAGAGCAGCCCTCTTCTAGCAAAAGCTTCACGTGAGACTGATAAAACCTGCTGCACAGAAGTGCATAAACACATCCGCGCAGATAGCCATCAGAATAGAACAGGCAGTTGCAATAGTTTTGTCCAGTTTAGAGCACAAAAGATATCAGACGCTCAGTTTACGTGTGGTCAGAGCATCTGAGGCTGGATTAGGTTGAGAGTGGTCCACCACCCAAATAAATCCGTCCAAGAGCAGCTCTGCAGTCAGAGACCGACCACTGATAAGGGCAAGAGGATGGCTAACACAAACTGTGCAACGACAGAGATGGGGTACAGTCTCACCACCAGCAAGGTGGAGCTACAAGGCAGTGGTTTCTAATAAAATCAGTATTGAATGTATGTTCCTATATAAAATGCCTAGACAGTGATACATGTGGTGGAACGTGAGATGATAAAGATATAGATATACATAAACAAGAACCGCTGTATTGTACTTGTGCACACACACACACACACACACACACACACACACACACACACACACACACACATATTCTCTCTTTTCTATCTGCTTGTCCTCTGCACACGTTCTGCTTACCAAGTTGAGCTTTATCTGCTCTGCTCTTTCCGCAGGCGCTCTTTTCCCAGAATGCCCTCTACGGAGAGTCAAAGTGAGGACAATCCTTACGACTACAGGAAACTTCTGAGGAAGACCTCCCAAAGAAGAAGGCTTATCAAACAGTACTAGCCTGTCTGCCCACGAGCTTGTTGCTAGCGTGTTTTCTGGGCTACATATTTTGTAAATATTAATAATAGTGATACAGTGGCTACCTGACTAGCCACACTGTGTGTCCTTCTTATGAACCTTTTTTAAAGGTTATTAAAGGAAGACTTCAGCCAGAATGCTAACATGTCTAACAGTGAATGAAAGCTGGTGGCAGACAGTTAGCATGAATGTGCGTAATGCTAACTGGGACTAGCGTTTATACATTATGAGTGTAGATGTAGGGTTGGAATATTCCTTTAACTGTCATTATCAGCCCATGTGAGCCATGCATCTCAGAATAAAGATGCTATTTGTGGTTATCTTACATGTTTAAATAACTGTTCTATAGTTTTAACTTGATGAACTTCAGTCAGGGCCCATTCAGAGTTAGTCTCGCAGGGCCAGATCTGATTTCATAATGAGAACACGTCTGGAGACAACTTGTGAAGCTGGATCGGGAGTGCGGAGTCGAAGCTCGGAATTGTGTCAATTTGGAATTATATAATTTGACTTTACGCAGTCGAGCCATAAGATGGAGGCCTCCATGAAAGCGAGTATGGTTAGCGACCAGCTAGCCAGCTGACGTTAATGATATGAGTGATAACATTCATGATGACATCCATGACCTTCTCAAAACAAAATTTATGGCCAGTGTTCTAGTTTAACCATCTAAAGCCATCTAACCATCTTTTCAAAGTGGATAAGTGGTTCTTTATTATTACAGACAGCGTAAGCCGCCATGTTGATTTGGTATCATATGCTAAGCTTGGAGTTGAGAACACCATCCCGGCTTCCCAAGTAAGAATTTGAAGTTGAGTTGATTTTTTGGGGGTTTTTAAGGTCAAAGGTGGGAAATTCCGAGTTACCAGCTTCAGTCAAACTTTCGGTGCTATATTGAAACATGGGTACGTCCCACCCACAAATTCCTCTAGTCTGCGCTCTTTTAACGCCTGGAGTATAATCGCTAACACAAACAGAACCAACTGGTTAGCGAAATGCTAACATTGGCTAACAGATCGTTAATGCCGGCTAACGTCCCTGCTGAAAAAAGACCATTACTACCATTAGGATTAAAACCTGATGGGAATTAGCTTAATGGTTACCATCAGAGATCATTGATTTCCTGTAGCACTCCTTTAGATTGCATTAGGAGACCATCAAATGCATCTAGAATCAGTCCCAGAACACCTTTTAAACCATTAAAATCCGAATACAACCCATCTGGAAACACAAAATACCATTACTGTCTATTGTGCACAACTAAGAACCAACAGAAAGTGGTTTCTATGATTTTTTCAGCAGGGCTTTTTCCCTTATAAGAGGTAATGTTTATTTTTACCACTTCTAATATGTTCTCTGCACAAGCAACTCACATCTACCTGATTAACTGGAGTTTTGGGAAGACTTTTAAGCCACGCTAGCTTACATTACACAATCAGACAGAAAGGCACATTACAGGCACGTCTTTGTTCATCAAAGTATAAACAGTTTAATATAAATATTAATGCATTTACACTCCAATTGTGAACCCTAAATATGGTTTTCCCAGGGAAAAATTCATATTTGTATATTTTCATAATGTAACGCTTTAAAATGGAAGAAGAAAATTAGAAGCCTGGTGTCAGGACAAGCTGTATGCAGTCAGTGCAACTTCAAAAATGTCATTGCAATGGAATATGGTACACTTATGGTACACTTATGTTGCCTAAAGGGGACCACCCCTGTAAAAGTTCAGTACCTTGTTTCTGAGTGTGTACATAGCCTGTAGTTAGCCCATATACACCGATCCTTGTTTCTATGCTCATTGGCAATTTTATCAGCTCCGCTTACTATATAGGTGCACTTTGTATTTCACAGTGCTGCTGGAGTTTTTAAACACTGTGTCCACTCACTGTCCACTCTATTAGACACTCCTACATTGTCAGTCCACCTTGTAGATATAAAGTCAGAGATGATAGCTCATCTGCTGCTGCACAGTTTGTGTTGGTCATCCTCTAGTCCTTCATCAGTGGTCACAGGACGCTGCCCACAGGACGCTGTTGGCTGGATATTTTTGGTTGGTGGACTATTCTCAGTCCAGCAGTGACACTGACGTGTTTAAAAACTCCAGCAGCACTGCTGTGTCTGATCCACTCGTACCAGCACAACACACACTAACACACCACCACCACGTCAGTGTTACTGCAGTGCTGAGAATGATCCACCACCCAAATAGTACCTGCTCTGTGAGGGTCCATGGGCGTCCTGACCACTGAAGAACAGGGTAAAAGGGGGCTAACAAAGTATGCAGAGAAACAGATGGACTACAGTCTGTAACTGTAGAACTACAAAGTGCTCCTATATAGTAAGTGGAGCTGATAAAATGGACAATGAGCGTAGAAACAAGGAGGTGGTGATAATGTTATGCCTGATCGGTGTATATGGACTAACTACAGGCTTGTTGTCCATTGGACAGTGTTCATAAGTGCATCATTTTTGAGCTCCATCGGAAATGAGTTCAGAAATGTCATACGCAGTTTCTTCCCACCCTAAGAAGACTATGTTCCTGTAAGTCAGAGTTACCAGCTCTAGCAGAGTTGACATTACATTGTAGTCTAATCTGCATACAGAACTGCTCTCTAGGTTTAAATAAGAGGAGAGAGACAATCTGGATTAAGTTGAATGGAGAGGAAGAGCTGAATAAGCACCATCTCTTACACTTATATAACTACTGAACTACATATGAACTAATATAGATTATAACCAGTGGCTCAACTGGCGCACGCCCAGCTGGACTGTATTGTGCTAATTGATTGTTGTGTATTCTTACCTCTACATTATGTGCTATGTCATCCTCTGCAGCTCTGTGACAGTTCAGTTACTGTGTTGAACGATTTGTGCTTTATTTTCATGTAGGTTCTTTTTCGAAGGCGCTTAAAGTGCTCAGTTTACTTCTAATTTTTCACAATGTATAAATGTTTACAAAAAAACAAAATCTGAATTATAAGTGTAAATATACCATAATAAGTCCTGTAACTGGATGTTATTTGGAAACTGATCCATGTTGTATATATTGTCCAGTGTTAATAATGCTGGAGTGTATTACTGTCTTTTGAAGATAAATATTTGAATGCTTCATCGACTAAATTGTGTGCTTCAAATGAATCGTGTCTGTTTTTTGTTGCTCTGACTGAGCCATCGCTGTTTGTCTTGAAGTATCTAATTCATCATGGCTCTAATTTGCTGGTCTGTGGTTATTATTGCAGTGGCAAGCCAGACGCCCTTGTTATTTTGAGGATATGCTAAAGCTGGCATTGCAGTTTAAAGGGGAATTCAACAGATTAATGAGAATTAAATCTTTGTTAACCCCTTAAAGTCCCAGGCTTATTACATACCAAGGCTTATTATGCAGTAACTACGGGGACTTTGCTGCAAACTGGTTGAGCTCTTCTTAGGTTATACATGTATGTAATAAAACTCTGGCCTTTTAAGGGGTTAATTCATTGGTTGAGATGTGAACAAAGCCATTCAGAGTGGTTTGGTGTGAAATGCTTTGTTCTAGAGAAATTGCTGAGTCAGAATTGATCACAGTGGTGGTGATAGGAACCAGACGTCTGAAGAGTTTAATGCCTCTAAAAGCTCCCAGAAAGTTATTATGTGAAATAGATGCAAATACACTGTCTGATGTCTAAAATACTGTTTTATGATGGTTTTAAGAAGATTTTGGCCTATGTATTTTTTAAAGCCCATGGTGGAGAGGTGCATGCGGGGTGTCGTAAGGCAAAATAGTCCCCAAATAAATTTTGATTTTCCACTATTTTACCATCATCACCATTACCTGTAAACACTCAGAAGGCACATGTAGGCTGACTGTTGGTTTTGGATAGTAAATAAAATGTCTTTATTTGTGTTGTAGACATTGTGATGTCTGGTTCCTAAGAAATCTGAGCCTGTAAGGTTCTCTACAGTGCACCACAAAACACTCTGAATGACTTCGTCCAAACGACTGAATTTTCTTTTTTTTTAATTGGTGCAATTCACCATTAATGTTAGTCAAGTCAGGCTGGCTCTGACTCCTCTATGAACACACTGGTTACAAACACTGTTCCTCCCCCCCTATATTCTAAATGCTGAAATGATTTTCCACTTAATGCTCCTCTGGCGTATCATTTTTATGAGAGATTTCATTGTGATCATGTTTAACATATGCATTTTGGGGTAAGTGCTTTTTCCTTATCTAAACAGACCCAGTGTGTTTGATTTGAAACTCTTTTCCTTAGCTGTGGGCTGTGGCATCACTTCTTTGCCCCCAGCAACCCATAATTCACAGCTAAAGGCCTGTAGCTCTGGCGCCTTATACTCCTGCCTGTGGCTTTAAATAGAAATTCTAGACATTTTTCAACATTTCTGCATAATTCAATGGTAAGATGTAAAGTCATTCAGAGTGGTTTTATGTGCAGTCGTAGAGAAACTTACAGACTTTTTACAGTGGTGGTGATGGGAACCAGGGGCTGCGATGTCTACAACACAAATACAGCTGTGGATATTTTTGGTTGGTGGACTATTCTCAGTCCAGCAGTGACACTGAGGTGTTAAAAACTCCAGCACCCAAATAGTACCACCAATGATCCACCACCCAAATAGTACCTGCTCTGTGAGGGTCCATGGGGGTCCTGAGCACTGAAGAACAGGGTAAAAGGGGGCTAACAAAGTATGCAGAGAAATATAAATATAAATATATATATATATATATATACACGCACACATTGTTGATGAATAACTTTCCCCTTTCTCCCCTTACGCCCCCTCCCCCCAGGTGTTGTACGCCTTTGTATTTTTTTCTCGTTGTTCAATCATGAACCTGCAGTACAAACCCAGCAGACTGAGCTGCGGCGTTTTGCGTAACGCGCAAAAAGAAGTTGGGTAAAAATAAATAAATAATAAATATAAAGTTGGACAGCTTGAGCTCAATTTTCGCACAGATGCAAGCTAAGCCGCCGTGCGCCACCACGCCGCCCGACAGGCAGGCAGGAGGGGCCAGGAACTGTCACGACTCGGCGACGCAGAGCGGTTCGTCACGGCGTGAATCACGCTGGAATTTCTGGGGTGAAACTGGGTTACAGCGTCAGTGCGCACCGACCGCTTCACTGCCCCGCGTGCCATTATAAACTTCCGTCCTACTTTTTTTTTTTATTTTTGTGTTTGTTTATTTATTTATTTATATAGCCTTGTGCTCGCTGGAATACTCGACGACCTGAAGAAAAAAAAAAAAATTAAATAAATAAAAAAATTCGCAGGCAGCTTAATCCGCGCAGGCTGCCCGCCTTCCTGCGCCAGAGCTGCGTCTCCTCTCCTGCTGCAGGCGGCTGAAAGCATGCAGTGGGGGGCTGCTGCGCTGCTGCTGAACCGGCGGGCGCACGGCAGCCAGAGTGAGTCCCCCGCGTAAAGAGTGCACCAGTGCATGTGGAGCGTTTGTGCAGCGCGGAGGCTCGAGGAGGAGACGCTCTGCGCGCCTCTTCCAGCATCCAGCGAGGACCTGAGAGGAGCTCAGCAGCACCGTTCCCCCCTTTTTCTCCCCTCCTCCCCCCCTTTTCTGTCCTCCCCTCTCCCTCCATAACCCCTGGATGGGCTCTGCTCGCCTCTCGTAGCTGCAGAAAGCGTCGTTTTTGCGCAATGGCATCGCACGGCTTCTGGTCTCTGGGCGCGCAGAGCGCAGGAGGAGACAACAGCAGCCCGAGCACGCGTGAGTAAAACCGGGACTGACGGGGACCAAAACGACCACAAAAACGGAGCCGCGAGCTCCTCGACCACCGCTAAGATTGTGAGACGCTTGTTTTATTTTATGTAGCCTGTAAAGCGTTATAGTCCCGTTTTTTGTGGACTGTGACCCAATTTTGAGGCAAAGAAACGACGAAGACGAGGCGTCTTTATTCGCCAGCCTCTTGTTCGAATTGTCCCGTTCCACCTTAAATGGCGCTGCAATTACAGTCCGGCTACATTCATTTAAAATTGAATCAGTGCAGACAGAATGTAAAAGCTGCTTGTTCGAATTTTCCCGTTCCACCTTAAATGGTGTAGCACTTACATTCTGGCGCCTGAGGCTGCTGCACCATTTAAGGTGGAACGGAAAAGTTTTTTTTTTTTTTTCTCGCCTACAATTCTTTATAAATTAAACGCGCAATTAAATAAAAAATAGATAATAAAATGATGAGATAAACAATATTTATTTGCTTTATTTGTGTGTGTTTTCGCTCTCCTCAGCCCGGGCATGGTGCCAAGCGGCGGCCCAAAAATTCACAGGAGGCATCGGGTCGAAATTATGTGGTAAGTTCGTTCCTTTATTTTTCCAGCATTTATTATTTCACCTGTTTCTCCCTTTAAAACGCTGCTCTTAATAAACAGCCTCACTCGCTGCGCAGACACCCCTGCTGAAATAACACTTAGTTCCTGATGGTTTTGTAATGTGTTTTGGCTCTTTTTGATGGGCTGAATGGTTTAACAGGTGACCAACTGCTTATTCTAAATGCATGTGATGATTTCCTAATGGGATCTAAAGCTCTTCTACAGGAAACTGGTGGTCTCTACTAGAAACCAGCCAGTTATCATTAGAAAGCAAAGGCATTAGGTTTTAATCCTAACGGTCCTTTTTCAGCTGTGGACCGCGGTAGATGCGAGGCTCGTTCACAGAAGTGGGTTAAATAACGGTTTAATTGTGTGTTTGGCAGCGCTGCTGAATGTGGGGGAGATGGAGAAAGCTGCAGACCCCTCCGCCGCGGCAGACCCCAAACAGGGAGCGTCTTTGGCGGAGAGCTGCAGCTGCAGCGACAAACCCTGCAGCTGCTCCAGAGCCACGGTGGGCTTCTCCCACCTCTACTCAACAGGTAAACACTGTACACACACACACACACACACACATATAGACCATATACATAACTGTCTATTACTGCAGAAATATACAGCTCAGTTAAAAATGATAATAATTTGTAATAATAATTAATTGATTAATGACAATAATAAACAATAATAATAAACATGAATGTGTATTTAAAATAAAAGGGTTTGTTATTTGTGCGAATGCATGTTCCCATTTTTTAAATAAAACAATTCATAGCTAAAACACGTTTTGCTTTTTTTAGTTTCTTCTTTTTGTTTGTGTTTTTTTTTTTATATAAAATAATTAATGGCTAAAATGCACGTTTTTATTTTCTTCTTTTTTTCTTTATTCTTTTCTTTTATTTATTATTTACCTGTATGTTTTTTTTCCAGATTTTGTCTGTTTCATAAAATTATCCGTTTAAAATCAGCATAAAAACTGATCAATTATGATAAAAAGCTTAATTAAAAGCTTAATTATTAACTATAATTGGTAGACCTGCTGGTAATTTTTCATGCTGATGAGAGGCTGATTTTATTGGAAATAGATTTTTTTTCATGCAGTCCTAAGGCTGTTTGTATTATATTTATTGATTCACTTTATTTATTTATTTATTTATTTTTGCGCACAGCTCGATATTATTATGTATATTATGTTTATATATATATATATATATATATATATATATATATATATATATACATACAAATGTGTGTATTTTATAATTGTATTATTATTATGTGTGTTATCATAATTATTTTATTGTCATTATTATTTTATATCATTTCTTTATTGTTCGTCCTCAGACCTCCTGCCCGCGCTGGACGGCGACCTGAAGACGCTGAACTTCCTCCAGGAGGTGGTGGACATCCTGCTGGCCTACATCGTGGAGTCCTTCGATCGCTCCACGAAGGTGATCGACTTTCACTACCCGAACGAGCTGCTCCAGAGGAACAACTGGGAGCTCTCAGACGAGCCGGAGACGCTGGACGACATCCTCATCAGCTGCAGGGCCACCTTAAAATACGCCATCAAGACCGGTAGGTCGACTGAGGGGAGCTGGTTTTATTATCTATGGTTATCCAGGATTTAAAGACCGTGTTTAGAGAGTCGTGTGTCAGTTTGGAGGAGACCGGAGTTGAAAATTCCAACTGTCCCGTTCCACCTTAAATGGTGCAGCGGTTACATGCACCATTTAAGGTGGAACGGAAACGTTCGAACAAGAAGCTATTCATTCAGTTACACTGATTACACGATTTTAGCTGAATGTAGCCAGAGTATAAGTAACTGCTGCGCCATTTAAGGTGGAACGGGTAAATTCCAACATGAATAGGAAGCCAACTTCAGCCTCGTTTAATATTTTAACCAAGGAAGCTATTTTTCTTTTTATTCCACCTCCCGTGTCGTCATTCAGCTTATTAAGATCAAAGTTAGAGCCAGTCTGTATTTTAGGGTGTTAGTATTATTTTACTCTGTGGTAAATTATGCTGCGTCCCTTTTTGCATCCCTTGCTCGTTTTTAGGGACTATTTTCTTCACTCGGTGCTTGATAGTGTTTCTCTATTGACAAGTGACACTCATCGATCAATGCGCGTTCGGGCGTTAATGCAGATGTTAATGTGATTGGCGGATGGATACCATTTTATCGCGCTGGAAACGAGGGAACGCAATGTAATGTGGTAGAACTAAAGAAATATGGGAGATTATTGTTATTATTATGTCTGGCGTTTGTTATGGATGATAATACCACGTAATTATGTTCGTGATTAATGACGTTGGCATGTTTTGAGGAAATGCTGGACACGTTTTGATAGACTGGAGGTTGCTGCAGTGTGACCTTCAGATCAAATCAAACCAAATCAGGCTTTATTGGTCACACACAGCCAGACACAGTAGAACCAGCACTGAGAAAACAGAATATACAGTATAAAAATATAAAAATTATAAAAAATATAAATATAAAAAAGAAAATAAATATATATAAATATAGGGCTATAATAAAATACTGTGAAGTGCAGGTGTGTGCAAATGAGCAGGAGGTACACTCTTAAAAAGATGGTTCTTCATAGGTTCTTTTGTAAAGATAGTGGTTCTATATAGAACCATGAACAATAAGAGAACCTTTCCACGCTCAAATGGTTCTTTGCATGGTGAAATGGTTCTTGAGATTGATTGAGTGTGCTGTATGTACATCTACACACTTAAAAAATATTTCTTTAATGGTTCTTTAGTAGAGAAAATGCCTCTACCTAGAACCATGAGCACTCAATGAACCATCTGCATGATTAAAGTGTTAATTGCCTCGAAAAAAGGGCCTTCAGATTGATGGAGAATGTGTTGTATAAACTTCTACACCTTAAAAAGATGGTTCTGAAAGGTTCTTTAGTAAAGAAAATGGTTCTATGTAGAACCATGAACATTTAAAGAATCATTTGCATGATTAAAGGGTTATTTGCCTCGATACAGCCTTCTTCAGATTGATTGAGAATGTGTTGTATGTACTTCTGCACACCTAAAAAAGATGGTTCTTTAAGGGTTCTATAATAAAGAAAATAGTTCTATGTAGAACCATGAACAATCAGAGAACCTTTGCATGCTCAAATAGGTCTTTGCATGGTGAAATGGTTCTTGAGATTGATTGAGTGTGCTCTATGTACTTCTACACCCTTAAAAATATGGTTCTTTAAAGGTTCTTTAGTAGAGAAAATGCCTCTATCTAGAACCATAAACACTCAGTGAACCATCTGCATGATTAAATTGTTATTTGACTTAATAAAATGTTCTTCAGATTAATGGAGAATGTGTTGTATATAGTTCTGCACACCTAAAAAATGGTTCTTTAAGGGTTCTTTAGTAAAGAAAATGGTTCTATGTAGAACCAGTAACACTCAAAGAACCATTTGCATGATTAAAGGGGTTATTTGCCTCAATAAAGGGTTCTTCAGATTGATTAAGAATGTGTTGTATGTACTTCTATATAGAACCTTTTCAAAAATGGTTCTATATAGCACCGGAGAGGGTTATTGTATTGTGTTACAAGCTTGACATCATAACAATAGCAGAACCCTTTTTGGTGCTATATAGAGCCCTTTTCAAAAAGGTTCTATATACAACCATATACAACACATTCTACCCTCAATCTGAAGAATGTGCTATATCTGAATCCATTTAAGCATGGAAATGGTTCTTTGAGTGTTCTACTGAAGAACTCTTATATGAAGAAATCTTATTAAGAGTGGAGTAGAGTTGAAAGAGGTCAGTAAGTATTATAAATGTATCAGTGTGTATTGTGTATGTGGGGTGTCTGCGTGTTGACCTTAATGACCTTCAGACTCTCACTGGACAAACAGAAATCCATAGTTATAAGCTCCGCCTGCAGAAATGGCCATAAAGATTAATTCATTTCACTGTGTGCTTTTTCTCCCCCTCATTATTTTGGCTATTTATAGCCCACCCCAGGTACTTCAATCAGCTCTCCACTGGATTAGACATGGTTGGCCTGGCTGCAGATTGGCTGACGTCGACTGCCAATACCAATATGTGAGTGCAGCTCCTCTCATCCCCTAATGCTCACACACAAAGCGAGCGGCGGTCATTTCCGTTTCCTGTCCCCCCCTGTTGTCGATCGGGCTCTGTGCCTACAGATAGCACACGTTCTCTCTCGGCAGCAAATTGAAAGGGGTGAAATGAAAGGCAGCCCGGCATCCACGCTGCCCACCCTGCATTGCTCCGTTATCAGGACCATTCAGGGGGAGAAAATTAGAAGGGAATTAAAATTCGCATTCATTGAAGCTCATCAGAATGCTAATATCGTTTTTTGGGAGCTCATGATTTGGCTGATTCCTCTCGAATGAGAGTGAAGAGAAAGGGATTTTATTCTTAAACGTATATAGATAATATTTTCACTGCAGCCTCTCAAGCAGTGTTTGGTATGTGAAAAAAAGAAAAAAAAAGATAATGCTGGGTCATTCTACAGAAACGTCCACTTTTCTATCTCTCCATAGGAGTCACTGGTGTTACCAGTCCTCATTGGTGTTACACATAAGAAAGGTAACACCAGTGACATTTTTAATGAAACATGCATTTTACAAAATACCTGCTACAGAGCATCAAACCACATGTTGTCAATCATGGAATATCCACTAAAATATGTAATTTAATCCATTGGTATTCTTTTTTTTCACAATTACCTAAGAATAAAGTCGGTCACACCAGTGACTTCAGCTAAGAGCTTCATATGAAATCATGAGCTAAATGACTCACCAGTGGACTCACCATGTGCTTTTCTTCATAGATCCTCAGAAAAGAGGTAAAAGGAGGTTGAGTGATGTCATCAGTGTGATTATTTTTCAAAATAAGAGTTTTTTTGTTATGCAGTAACACCAGTGACACGACTCCTGGGGACAACAACTTTCATTATATATTTTATAATATTTATTTGGCATTTGTTTTCTTTGTATCATTTCATTTATATATTTCATAGTCAGGTAAGATTATTGCAGAAAAAACATTTTTTACCTCAAAACATGGCCTCACCCTTTACACATGACTGTGAGGACGAGCTCTTCTGCGGTGTTTGGAATTCTGTATAATTGATTTACCAATATTGCTCAATTGATGGCTCAAGAGGGTGTAGTTATAGTTAGAACTTATTGTTTTATTTTAACATATAGATAAATTGTAACATGTTTTTCAAGTGTAATGTATCTGTACATGCTAGGGACACAAAAATGGACGTTTCCATAGAACGACTCCAGTTTCATGGTCACTCAGCAAATTACACTCTAAAAGTCATTGTATGAACTTAATTCAATTATGCCACACATTTCCATTAAAACAGAGTAGAGTCAGTGCACAAGGACTTTCTTACCTCAACGTAAAATTCAACTGTTGATGGATCAGAGTTGAAACATTTCAGTGCAGTTTATTTGAGTTTCATTGGAATGCAGTTCTGTTTGGCTCAACATAAACAGTTTCCATTTATTAAAATGCACTTTTGCAATTGCATTATTTTGTTTCCATTTTACGTAAAATCACTAGAAGACAACACAAATAACAACACACATTCTCAGTCTGTAAGTCCAACAACCCTGTTGGTTAATTCTTTTGAGTGTACAGTCATTCATTTTATAATACAGATAATACTACTAATAATACTAATAAAACAAACGTGGAGTCGCTGTAAAGTACATTTCTATGTTGTGCATTTATCTGTTATACGTTTAGGGTGTCAGTTATCTGTGCTAGTATAGATTCATTTCCCAGTGAAAGTCAATCAGTCAGAGCTTACAGACTTTATATGTATATTTACAGTCGTGTGCAAAAGTTTAGGCACCCCAGACAAATGCCATTTTCTTGATTGAAGTGAAAATTTTGATTCGCTGAGTTTAACGTACTGGAGAAAAAGTGAAACATAAAATGAAGCATGCGCAAAACATTTTATATTTTGTGTTTTGTGTTAAACTCAGCAAATAAATAAAAATTAGGCACCAAAATTTGCCTGTAGAGGACGTGTCGGCTTATTTTCACCAAGAAAATTAATAAAACATGTAATTCTGTGTTCAGCCTTTTGCACACAATTGCATATTGTTATTGAAACGAAACAGCTCTCATTCCACCCTCATGTACTCCTACCTGGTCCTGACAGACTGCCGTAAAACCTTTTATAACTGATGTAACGCCTCACCCACATAACCACCCAGCATGACCGATGCTAAATTGCTCAAGGTGACGTGATTTTTTTTATTCCCCCTCCCTTTTGCTTTGGATGCACCGTATGTGACCGGGTCATGTGATCTCTCCTGACGGACAGGTTCACCTATGAGGTGGCTCCAGTGTTTGTCCTGCTGGAATATGTCACACTGAAGAAGATGAGGGAGATCATTGGCTGGGAAAATGGCCGCGGGGATGGGATTTTCTCACCAGGTAAGCAACAGACTAAAACTCTATAAGAGGAATGGATTGATAAAGAATTTCTGGGCTGACATCTTAAACTCTCATTCATTCAGTCAGTCATTCATTCAGTCAGTCGTTCATTCATTCAGTCATTCATTCAGTCAGTCGTTCATTCATTCAGTCAGTCAGTCAGTCAGTCAGTCAGTCAGTCAGTCAATTGTTCATTCATTCATTTAGTGACCCATTCACACTATAATCCTGATATGATGTGCAGTCTGTGTAAGTCATTGTATAAACTAATCATTGATTAGTTTTTCACAGTCAGGGCACAGCTAAATTAGACATGACCGTTATTATAAGTATCTAAACTAGTATATTTAAGTACTAGTGTAAATGTTTTCCTACTGATCAGACTTCCAGAGGCTCTGATGATAGGTGAATAGGTACATTTACATTTATGGCACTTAGCAGACAATCTTATCCAGAGCCACTTACAATTTGATCATTTTACACAGGTAGGTGAAGGTAGTGTTAGGAGTCTTGCCCAAGGACTCTTATTGGTATAGTATAGGGTGCTTCCCCAGGTGAGGGATTGAACCCAGTCGACAGCGTAGAAGGCAGAGGTGTTACTCACTACACTATACCAACCAGTTTTTTTTTAAAAACAGCAGTTACGTTCCTGCCTGGTTTTCTATATGTGTGGGGTGGTGATATTATCCACTGTGCTATCCATTCGAATAAATTTACAGGAATGGAAATGCCCAGCCCTGTGTCAGTGCATGTGCAAGCTTAAAATATTTGACAGTATGACATAATTTTCTCAGTATCATGATAAGTTACACCACAGTACACTTTTATAAGCATATTGTGGATATTACTCATAGTTATTTAATAGTTAAAGGCCTGGCTCCGTGCAAGAGAGCATGATAAGTTCTGTTTAATTGGATTTACTGCAGTGCAGTATGTGAAACAGTGAGTAAAAATCGTTTTAAAAAAATGTGGCACTACTGTCTGTTCCAACTTATCAAATCTCTGAAAAACGAAATATCATGATGCATAGTGGGTATGCTGATATCTTTAAATATGGTGGTATTATATTTTTGTCATGTCACCCTCCCCTACGTTAAATTATAATTTTTAATTATATTCTTTAATTCCAGTATCAGACCAACAATAATAATGCAATTTTCTCATTAATCAGCCAATAATATATCCGCCACACATAAGTAAAGCACCCATTAAAAAGAATTGCTCCCAGATCCTGCTGAGCTACTGTTGTTATTGGTCTGTAGTGCTGGTACAATAATTCCTATATGACTCCCACTGTCCTTGTTACACTTCAAGTTCAGATAATTTTAGAGAGCATAAATTTAGCTGTAGTAAATTGGGAGGTGACATTGCAGTCAGTTCTAAAGACAAATAAAAGAGCGCACACTTTCAGAAATCTCTCATTTTGTGTTGGGCCATAAGAACAGTGAGTATATCTGAACACATTGCTTGATTGTGTTAAAAGCAACACAAAACGTGTTGTCCTGAACTGGTCATACAGATCTGTTAAAAATAATGCACTGTGCATTTTACCGTCAGTCCAGCTATGGACACAAATTGAATACAAATTAGATTTCATGCTTGATCCTCTAATCACTGCTACATTTTTCAATATGTAAGATAAATTCGGAGAGTGAATCAGAACCAGGCCAGTGAAAGACAGGAGTTTCAGCAGGCATTAGGTAACAGCTCATTCAAGCTCAGTGCCTGAACAGGGTCTTGCTGTACCATCTCCCTCCAGGTGGCGCCATTTCCAACATGTACGCAATGTTGCTGGCTCGCTACAAGATGTTCCCTGAAGTGAAAGAGAAAGGGATGTCATCAGTGCCGAAGCTGGTGGCCTTCACCTCTGAGCATGTATGTCCATCTTATCTCACTGTGTTTTTAAATTACATTGAATTAAGGACTGTTATGAGCCTGAGATGATTGAGTAAGTGTGGGTGTACAAATGCATCAGTGCATCTGAAGGTGGGGATTCTATTACACCAATTGTTTGTGACAGTTATATTATATTATATTATGATAATCAAGTCTATAGGAGTGTAACAATACATCAAATCATATTGTCTCGTTCAAAACTCTCAATTCATTCAGCACAAGTATCAGACAGTACATCCAACAGAGTGGAGCAAATAAAGTACTCAGTTTAATGCAGATTATATTGCATTAAATGTACTGAAAATCAAACAAGCAGGTCAGACCCCCTCTTTTCTGAAAATAACGCTTCCTCTTTACCGTCAAAGTTGAAATCAGAAAGAAAAGGCACAACATTATAAGCTTTTTTTAAACATTGAATGAACTAATTAACTGAAAAATGGAAACTTTCACATATTAACATATTCAAATTGAGACATCACTGTATCGCAGCAAGCTCTATTATGAGTACTATTGTAAGATATTGCACACCTACGAGTCTAATATTCAAATGTATAGTTCTGAACTAATTGCAATGTGTCTTTTAACCCCTTAAATGGCCAGGAGCTGCTGGTGGATCTAGACTTTTATTACACATTTTTGTAATTTAAGAATAACTCAACCAGTTTGCATTGTAGTCTGTGTACAGTACAGTACAAAGGTCAGAGACCACTCTTAATTTGTCTTAGTTCTAGTCAGAACGGCCATTAAGTACAAGTTGTTCATCCACTTGAATAAGGAAGGAGAAGATCAAAGGAAAATACATTTTAAAAGAGTTTATTATGAAAAAAAAATAAATGGGCCTCCAAACAACCATGCGAGATCTGGTAGACACCAAAACTGCCCCCATCAGATAAACAGCACTTAAAGCTTTCATCTCTGAGAGAGAGGAGAAAATCAAGCTGCTTCAGATCTGAAAACATCCACAGGTGTTTCTGTCCATCCTTCCACTGTGAGAAGACGACTCAGCGCTATGGGTCTGAAAGGTTGTGTAGCTGTCAAGAAGAACCTCACTGAGAAAAGGAGACGGACACATCAAACAATGGACTGACCACCCCAGAGTCCAGACCTCAGTATCACTTAATGGGCTTGACTACTTCAACCAACTTCTAAGACTGAACTTTGAGAAACTGAAAACGGGTCTCCTGAAAAGAATGGAAGCTGTAATAAAGGCTACCAAATATACTAATAATATTTAGTATTATATATAGTAGTTGAGGCTTCTGTGTAATTTTCTGTTAAATAAGTTTTTTGCTTTTTTCTAAAGCTGAAAATGAATAAAAAGTTGTGCTCAATGGCCATTTTAACTGTAAATTAAATAAATGAAGGGTGGTCTGACTTTTGCACACTTACTGAATAACAACCCTTAATAAGAAGCCAGAATTTTAAGGGGTTAAGCATATACAGGTGTTCTAGTCTACTATGACTTACTTTCACTCCCATGCTGATAAAGCATGACTTTATTTTCTGTAGTGTTCTCTATAATTACAGCCGAAATCTCCACCATCAGTTCGGCAGCTTTTTATCAGTAATGTAAAATGTCAATATGCCACACTGGCACAGTTAAAGGTGATTCTGACATTCAGTCTAGCAGCGGAGAGCTGCATTAGCTGCAGTATTTACCCTAAAGCCATTTCAGGCATTTTGTTTAGACTGTTATTAATAGAAGGTCTCAGTAAGATGTGAAATGTTTCATGCCTAAAGAAGCACATTAGAAGAGTTTATTGCTCTGGACTGATGAAGTGGTATTGATTCAAATCATCATAGCAGCTGACTGTGTGTTTCAGAGCCATTTTTCAATCAAGAAAGGAGCAGCGGCCCTTGGAATAGGTACAGAGAGCGTCATCTGTATCAAAGCGGATGAGAGGTGGGTCTGGATAATACATAGTGATATTTCACATGCATGACTGGAGAATTGAAGAACACTTGTACATGTCCTGATGAAAATCACATATGGCTCCAGCCTTAACGTCCTGCTCTCGTCTCCGGCAGGGGTAAGATGATCCCTTCTGACCTCGAGAGGAGGATAGTGGAAGCCAAGCAGAAGGTAATTTCTGAAATTCTGGCCCACACCTTTGAAAGCAGACCTTCCTGGAGGCTCGTTTGCACTCCGTCTGACCTTCTGAGCTGACTCTGTTGAAATGATCTGATGGTCAAATGCTGACCTTGGGTTGACCTTTTAAAACCTTTTCTCCATTTCTCTTTTTCTTTTTTTTCCTTCCCCTCTCACTTCCTTTCCCTCGCTCGTCTGTCGTGGTTCTATTTCTCTTTTTTTTCATGTTTGTTTTTTGTCGTTTCTTCTTTTTGTGTCGGCCTCCGGCAGGTTTATCTGACTTTGCTGGTTTAGCCTTTTTCAGGACACTGTTGTGCTGGAAGTTGCCTCTTATCAGAGTCTCAGATATGTTGCTTCCTCTATCTCGATCTCACACGAGGATTTTGTGCTTTTGCTGTCTTCATTTTTTAAAGTGCTGCAGTATTTTAGATCAAGCTTTGTCACGAACAAAGCAGTAATTGTGTCTGTGTGATATCATGTGCAGTGCACTATCCATCCGATTGCACACCCCTAGCTATGGCTAAATGACGATACTAATATCTATGCAGAGTAGGTGGTGGCGGGGGATGGAGTCGGCAGGCTGCTTTAAAAAAAAAGCCACTTTCGTGCACCACTGAGCGTGTTTTCGGAGTGCATAGAAAAAAGGAGCCATAAATATGGACTCATGCTGCTCCATACACTGACAGACTGAGGCTCCTCTTACCTGTTTCACCACAGCAGGTTATGTTTTAACACTACACCACCTGCCACGTCTGCTTAAACCTGAGAAAATAAACATGCTTTCGAGTATGAAACTTTATTTTTGTGTTTACAGCCTAGAAATCTCTTCTTCTTAAAATATTAAAACAGCTAAAGCTTAACCATGTGAAGTAGCCTGTTACTGTTACTGTAGCTATGCATTTTTTATTAGTTTGTTTGTTTTTAATAATCACATAAAAGTCTTTGAGGGGCTCCCGAATGGAGCAACCATCTAAGTGTTGGCCCTATCATCAGAAGATCACAAGCTCGATCCCTGGTGATGCTACAGTCATCTGTGGCCGGGAGTTCAAGAGAGCACAATGAGCCTCGCTCTCTGGGTGGGTAGGATGGCCCCCCTCCCCCTTCACTCAACGTGATGCTAGTCAGCGCAGGCATCTGTTAGCTGACGCAACAGAACTGAGCTTGAGCGCGTTCGGCTGTCCGATGACGTTGCATGAGCGGCAGTTTGAAAAGACTAAATCAGGGAGAAAATTAGGGAAAAAAAAATCTTTGAAGCCTTCGTGTTTCATGAGGGAAGCCATTCTGCATGTGGAAGGCTGCAGCACGGCTTTATCGCTTTAACATGGACTAACGTTACACATTAAAAGAAAATGTGTAAAAAGAAAACAGACTATGAGACAAATGTAATTACTCACCTGCATCTTCAAGCCGCAGATGACATATTTTCAGACATTTTAAACGTCCCATTTGATTGACAGTTGCGATATATAGAGACTATTGGCGATAGATGATACCACTGTCAGACGGCTCAAGTCTAATATAAAACCAGAATATTTTGCCACTTTTTTCTGAAAAAACTAAATTTGAATGATTAATCTGAAGAGTAAACCTCTTCATAGTCTTATAAAAGTCACATGAAGTTTCTGGTCTGTTGCTATCTAACTGTGTAGCGCCACATCGCGCTTCTGACATTTCTTAAGTGCCTCCAGCACTTAAAAAGCTTTTGTAGTATTTCAGCACCAGTCTTGAACACTGAATCGTGTTTTTCGAAAGTCAAAGGCAAATGTTTTCAAGTCTTTCAAAGTTGCGCTATGTTGGCAGTCACTTTTTAGATCACAGTGTGGGATGTTCTTAAAAGCTAAATCCTTGCTTTGATTGGATCTGCTGATGGTGTATTTAATCCTCTGATTGGCTACCAAGTCGTTACAAAAAATGTAGAAAAAAGGCTGCTGAATGTTGATCTATATACGCTGTGATCTAATAGACAGGCATTACAGACGACTCTGCAGATGTAGTATAGATCAAGCCGGGGATTTCACATGGAAATGTGACACAGTACAGCTTATAAGATATTGCCAGACAACTCAGCTTCTCTAGTTTAACGAGGAATTAGATGTTTGTTGATTTCTCCAGTGCTAGTAAAGTTTACACACAACATTTTGTGAATGTGTCACCAGCAGAACGTTAGGCCTTAAAATACTAAACCAACGTTTGCTAATAATGTAATATTTACAATAACTGTATAACTGAACTGCTTTAATTGTAATTAATTGTGGTAAAATGATGTTAACAGCCATAATTAGTGACCCATCAGAATCAGCTGTATTGATAAAAACTCTATTGAAACTGATAAAAAGTGAGAATTTGCGACTCATTTTGGAACTAAAAAGCTCGTCAAATGATAATCTCTCTCTCTGTTTCTCAGGGTTATGTGCCGTTCTTTGTGAGTGCGACTGCTGGTACTACAGTGTACGGAGCCTTTGACCCCTTGATCGCCATCTCTGACATCTGTAAGAAGTATGACGTCTGGATGCACGTGGACGTGAGTAGATGTTTGATTTTGCTGAGCTCACATCTTCAAGCCTTCCAGATCATAACTGCAACATGCAGGCTGTGATTAGAGATCTCACTGTTGGCTGATTGTCCATCTGTCCACTGTTCTCACTCATTATCTCTACCCTTCCTTCACATGAAGACTTAGCATTGTCTCTAACTGATAAGCTAAGTAAAAGCTTGTGTTATATAGAGATAAAGAATGGAGAACACTCATTTCCTCATGGTCCTCCACAGAGTCAGGCACCAGTGTACTAGTGCCTTTTTTAGCTAAACCTATTGGGGATGTTGGTGAAGATACAGCACTGTGCAAAGGTTTTAGGCACCTGAGAAAATTTGATTCACAAAGCTGTTTATCTCAGCAGTAAGAATGAGCCTAAATACAAATAATTTAAATGTAATAAGTAGCGATTTTCTGTACATTAAAGTGTCCATTTCCAAAATCTCCAATCCCAGTATTGTTTGTAGTTATCATTCAATACTCGGTTTGGTTAATCAATACTTCCTTAATTTAAATTGAGAGTGCTGGTGATGATATTTAATAAATCTATATGATAGCTGGGGACGTCAACATCAGCAACCAACTTGAGTTCTTCTAACGAGCTCACAAGATATGGAGAAATTCTTGTCGCTTTTTACTGTATTTATGTTTATTAGTGTTTATGCTAATGTTATGTTGTAGCTTTACAAGCAGAAACACTTACTGCCCATATAAATGGTTTTAAACAGTTTGCTTAAGTGCCTAATGTTTTTGTACAGTCCTGTACTTGAACCAGAGAAACCATAACAGTAGGATTAGTTTTGCATTTGATTCTGCTGTATTATTAGCGGCATAGGTATAATAGAATAAAAGATACCAATCACTTGTTTTGTAGCTTCTTTTCAATGTAGTGTCCTTTGTTCTCTAGTCATTTCTGGTTAGTAACTGCTGGATTTACTGATTATTTCAAGTATGAGGCCCATATGGACATCGTTGACTACAATTGACTGAGATCTTGGCCACAAACAAAAGTAAAACCTTATGACATTGAAGATTGTTTTCCTCAGGCAGCTGCGTCCTGGCTTTGAAATGACACCACTCACACAGCACTCAGTTCATTTGTCTTGACTTATTTTGTACAATCAAATCCAAGAAATAAGCCTTCCTGGAAGGTTTGTAGCAGCAGTTCTGTCTCAGTGACAGTCTGCCAATGCAAAGAGAGTGTGATGTTAAGGTCCAGTAAGACTGGGGGGCCAAAGGGTAGTGTTTATGGTGGGCCAAGGGCCAAAAAGACAGAAACAGTGTACAAAAAATGAAGGTAGATAATTTTCAAATTGAGCATTTAATGATGTATTTTATAATATTTTATAACGTATTTTATACAAAAATTTATGCTTCAAAAATGTAGTTTGCAATTTGAAATAAAAATAATGCAGTTGTATGCAAAAGTTTGGGTGCCCCTGAACAAATGACTAATCAACAAATATTGATTTTAAGTAAGTAAGTAAGTAAGTAAGTAAGTGACCCTTATTAGTCCCTAAGCGGTGGGCAGCCCTATCCGCAGCGCCCGGGGAGCAGCTGGGGGTTAGGTGCCTTACTCAAGGGCACTTCAGTCAGGTACTGTCGGCTCAGGGGATTGAAGCGGCGACCTTCCGGTCACAAGGCTGGTTCCCTAACCTCCAGCCCACGACTGCCTTATTGTCTAAATGAAAATAAGAAATATACTTCTGCAGAAAACACGTCTGCACATTTTAATGCACAATTACTGTTTATTTACTAAATTTAACATATTGGGAGCAAAAACACATTTAAAATTTTACGTTTATTTTTTAAAATTCAGCAAGTAAATAGATATTGTGAACTGAAGTTATCAGAAATGTGCTGTATTTAACTGTGTTCTCTCTAGAGGGCGTGTTAACATATTTTCACTTATAAAATCACCAAAACATGTTATTTGAACAGGAGGTGTTTAAACTTTTGCATATGACTGTATTGTATGCATTAAAAATGTGTTCTCCCATTGTCTGAGGGGGTGGGGCCAAATCAAACAACTTTAAAAATCTATTTAATATGCTGGAAAAACATTGTTTTTTCTCTTTAGTAATATGAAATGTTAATGTAGTTTCATATTGCCGATTCTGAATGGAAAGCAGTGTATGCTATAAATAATTCCCCTCCAAGGCATGGTTCCATTTAATAGCCACCAATTACCAGCTATTACTTTCCCTGAGTGTGGGTGGGTGTGAGTGTACGTCTGTGCGTGTGCGTTCTATACTCTGGGGGCCGATGAGATTAATAACGATAGCTTATTACCTCATTTTTTGGTGACGCAGTGCCTCGTGCCCTGTGGGCTCTTCAGCAGTGGGCGGCGGGGGAGCAGCCGGAGTGTGTCTGGAGCTTTAGTCTGATAAATGTGGATACACTCGGCTGCTTTCATCTGACCTAACGGCTGCAGTCAGTCTGATGATTAGCCAATGCTAGCACAGAGTCTGAGTGAGCTTCAGGACATTTCCCGTCCAATCGGCTCTTAAAGGAGTCGGATAGCATCATGTAGCAGATACAGTACATAGCGCTGCTGTATTACATAGTTTGTCGCTGTGAGAGCGCTGATGAAACGTCACACTCTACTCGTATAGATTTATTGGAATAAACTTCCAGCAGAATTTGTCATCGGTTTGCGACCCTTTTCACAAACAAGCTTTTTTTGGTGTGAAGGTTCCACTGTATTAAAAATTATATCTGCTTTTTTCAGCTGAAAAAATCATGATTGATGTGAATAGGCCTTTACTGAGAGATGGGCTAGGGGCATTGCTCTACAAGGGCAAAGAGCAGTAACCATGGCAACACTGAACAGCTTCAAATTACTGTTGTTGTCCTTCCAGACATCTTGTAATCAGGAAAGTCAAGTGATATTGACTGATATATGTGCAATATAAGCATTATGATTTTTTCTGTAGCGTTATGATTTTTTTCATATCACTGCTGTCAGAACAAAACCTCGTACCTCCAAAATAATAACTTTACAGGAGAAGTAAAAGCCTACTGTACTTTTAATGGAAGTCAATGGAACCAGATTTTCTTCATTTATTTTGTGAAATTTATGCACAAAGTAAACCAGGCATTTTCAAATTATACCAAAAACTCAAAAACAAACAAAAAAAACTGGAGATACAAGGTTTTGTTCTGACAGCAGCGATATATGTCATTACGTAGCAGATGCAGCTGATCAATTTCAAGTTTAGTTAAACTTCGAAATTCAGATTCAAATTCAAATTCAATGTAGCACAAAGAAGTGCTTATAATATATTATGGAAGGATTTTTGGTCATATTTCCCAGCTCTGTTTCAGTTAAACACAGAGTTAAACACTAATATGAATTTAGTTTCACACTCTGTCCACCTGATCCAAAACCAGAATTTCAATTTGGGGGGCCAAAATGTGATTCTAAAATGCTTCTTGGTTTTTGATTTGTGTAGGGTTTTTTCCATATCGCTGCTGTCGGAACAAAACCTTGTATCTCCAAAATGGTAACTTTACAGGAGAAGGAAAAAAACATACTTTACTTTTAATGGAAGTCAGTGGAACCAGACTTCTTTCCAAGTCATTTTGGGCCGTTTCTTTTGGCCCATTCATCGTGAAATTTACGCACAATGTAAAGGGAAACAGGCCTTTTCAAATTATGTAAAAAACTGACAAAAAGTGGAGATTTGAGGTTTTGTTCTGACAGCAGTGATATATTTGTCATGACGTAGCAGATGCAGCTCATTAATTCAAGTTGAATTTTGATATGATCTACACTCTGCATGCTTGTGAAGTCCCATTTTACCATCTAAAAGGTTTATTAGATTTTTGGTTTTTTTTTGTGTCACATATTGTATACTGTATAGCTCTGACTCTACTAGCCAATGTATTAGCCTGTTAGCCAGGTAGTGGTCTCCTGAACTGTTTGTTAAACAAAGCCATGGTCTTACAACGGTTTCGGTTTACCGTGGTTATTGTTCAGGCTTTTTATACACAGAATAGTAACTGCAAACAAACATGCGTTAGTGAGGTCCTTCATTTGATTCCTACTTTGCCTGTGCCAGAGTCTCCTTTTTATACTGTCTCTGACTGTGCTTGAGTTTGATGTTACAGTAGGGGAAATCCAGAGCCTATAAAAATCTGACATTCTGTAAACAGATTCAGAATCTTTCAAGAGAGAATCACAGTGCATGTAAGAATTTATCATTTTTCCACCAGTATCATCTCTGAACCTGTAACACGTTTGGCTTGACAACAACAGAATTTTGAAGCTGTTTTTTCTCAGCACCACTGCTGGCATTGCTGCCGCTCTTTGCCTCCGTAGGGCAGAATAATCCGGGCAAGCAAATGCTGAAGCATCCTCGTGGGTTTAACAGTGTCATGCTGTGGAATCAGGACTGGGATTTGGTTTTAAATGGGATTATTTCAGGAAATAAATAACAAAATTGCATTGTCAAAAGATAATGGCCTGATCCCAAATCAAAAAATGAAAGCCTTCTTTACTTCCCCTAGCGACTTCCACTTGGGGAAAGTCCATGTTAGGAGCGTGTGTAGTTTCTTTTTCATTTTTTTCCTTTATTTTTCATAATAAAGCAGCTTCTTCTGAATACAGAAGGTGATTTTCAGTTTACCTGACATAGAAGCTTTAGAAAACAATGCGATCATTAAGCACCATTGCATTAAAAAATCTGGATTTTATTTGTCCATTTGGACAAAGTGGAAGGAAGCTGGGAAAGCGTATAGAGGGTTTGACTAATTTGTATAGAAATTGTGTCAAGCTGTGAAAATGTAGGCTATATAATGTCTAATGTGACCTTGAAGTGGCACACAAGGGAGCTGACTTTAGCTGCCTTGTTATGCATGAGTGTTATTGTTAACTCTTGGGTTTCTGCCCGCAGGGAGCCTGGGGTGGGAGCCTGCTCATGTCCAGGAAACACAGGTGGAAACTCAATGGAGTCGAGAGGTTAGCGCCTAGTTAATTTCATAAATCATATAGCACGAGTCTTTTTTCCCAGATGAAGCTTAATTCTAATGCTACACTGTAAGGGATTGTTTTCAATGGGCAAGTGTTATTGACAGTGTAATTTAGTCTGAGGCGTGTCCTGAAAACCGACTCTGGATGTGATGGACTGTGCAGGTGTCCTTGAAAGTGAATGCATTTGATTAATTATGAACCTGACATGCACATTGTATTTTATGGCACATGAATATGGAATAAATGTGCATTGCTGTGGTCTGCTGCCTCAGGGAGAAGTCTAGCTTGATTTGCTGTCAAATAATTGATGTTGAGTTTCTCCCCTGCTGTGATATCCTTGCCTGTGGCCAAGCAATGTGTTCAACATCTGAGTCTTTTAGTATAACAAAACATCAGAACAAAAGCGGCGCATAATTCATCTCATGACATGAAAGACTGTTAAAATAGGCATCTGGGCTGTGACTGTGAAGCTATCCTCACTTTGAAGCTAAACTCACTGGCTCTTTCCATCTAAGGTAGTAATGAGTTAAGGTAGTAATGAAGTAGAAATTTGCTGTACTTTGTTCCGTATAGGTGCAGTGATAAAACGATAATGATATATTATTGAAAATCCAACATTTATTCAATATTGATAACTTGAGTTAGATGCATATTATTACACAGTATTAGCAGCAAAGGCTTGAACTTTGAACAGTTACTACTTTAGTTCACCAGATGATGCTGTGCTCATTTAACTTACTGGGCAGGAAGAAGTCTAGCCATTCACTCACAACAGCACTATCCAGTGGGACAGTTGAAATTAGAGAGAATTTAAAAATATGAGTTTGAGGGAAACGTTGAGGAACAAGAAGAGATTGTAGCAAGAAAAAGGCCACTTGTCCTCTGAGAACATTTTCTTAAAACAATTGTATTGCAGAGCAGCTACACTTATAAAAAGATGGTTCTTTAGTAAAACAAAAAAGGTTCTAAAGAGAACCATGAACACTCAAAGAATGCTTTGCATGATTAAAGGGTTATTTGCATCTGAAAAGCATTCTTCAGATTGTTGGAGAATGTGTTGTATATGGTTCTATATAGAATATAAGGTTCTATAGCACCAAAAAGGGTTCTTCTATTGTTACAATGTCAAGCTTGTTACAATAGAAGCATTATATATGGTGATATATAGAGAACCATTTTCAAAAAAGGTTCTATATAGAACCGTTTGCATGATTAAAGGATTCTTTGCAATGTGAAAACATTCTTCAGATTGATGGAGAATGTGCTGTAGATGGTCCTATATAGAACCTTTTTGAAAATAGTTCTCTATATAGAACTATGAACACTCAAAGAACCCTTTACAGGATTAAAGGATTCTTGTGATCGTGAAAGCGTTCTTCAGATTGATGGAGAATGTGCTGTAGATGGTTCTATATAGAACCTTTTTGAAAAGGATTCTATATAGAGTATAGGGTTCTATAGCAGGGTTCTATGTCAAACTTGTTACAATAGAACAACCCTTTTTGGTGCTATATAGAACCATTTTCAAAAAGGTTCTGTATAGCACCATATACAACACATTCTCCATCAATCTGAAGAACACTTTCATGATGCAAAGAACCGTTTAATTATTCTAAAGGATTCTTTGAGTGTTCATGGTTCCATATAGAACCATTTTCTTTACTAAAGAACCCTTGAAGAGCCATGTTTTTAAGTGTGTAGTATGAGCCTTTCATTTTCTTCAGTTTTCAAAGTTCAGACTTAAAATTTAGCACAAATTTTGCATATAATATATCATAAAAAATGATATATTATATTGTACAACTCTGAGTTAAACACAAACACTAATATAAATATAGTTTCACACTCCACTAAACACTACTTTGATGATTTGTGTTAATAACCGTGTTTGGATGTTTTAGGGCGAACTCCATGACCTGGAACCCTCACAAGATGATGGCTGTGCCCCTCCAGTGTTCTGCATTGCTGGTCAGAGAGGAGGTGCGTGTGTAACATCTCCAAACAAGCAAACCTCCATGGCTTGGTACAGCCTTAACTGGCTTCAGAGCACAGATCTGTAAGACCTGGGCATAGCTGAGTTTTGAATGTGTTTCTCTGTACTTTCGTGAGATTCAGTTTCATTGTATGTTCCTGTTTAACTTTTTTGGTTCTCCTGCTCTACACACTTAGCGTCAGAGCTCATCATTGCTCGTCTTGTTGCTTTTCTGGCAGGGTTTGATGCAAAGCTGCAACCAGATGCATGCTTGCTACCTGTTCCAGCAAGACAAGCACTATGACCTGTCCTACGACACAGGAGACAAGGCCCTGCAGTGCGGGCGCCATGTGGACATCTTCAAGCTGTGGCTCATGTGGAGAGCCAAGGTATGGGGTGATTTTCACTGCTGTTTCTACCCGTATCAAGGGCCGAGTGACACTTCTGCATCTGCAGTTCTGTGAACATGTGTAAGTGTTGTGCGTAGGCATCCGCATTGGCGTCTGCCAGGAGGCACGCAACGTGGGGCGTTTACCAAACCAGACTGTACAGAAAAGGAAGAAAATAAATATTGGTGATGCACTGAAATGAAAATTCCTGGCTGAAACTAAAATTACAACACACATGGCTAAAAAATAGAAAACGGAAAGAAAGACGGGGTTTCTTGTTTGTTTTTTTTATTTGCCATTTTATCTATATGTTTTAGTAAACATACTAAGCATAAAACTACAAAATAGTAAAAAAAATCTTTTAAGGGTTTTTCTCTTTTGGCTGAAAACCAAAAGTGACATTTTTTGACTGAAATGTTTCTTTGGCTGAATTTTCAGTGCATCACTTTTTATCACAGCTAACATTCTTGGCTAATCACTTCGTGAGCTGCTCCATTTTCCTCTTTGAGCTTTTTAGCCTTTGTGTGGCAGCTTTGTTTTCAGTTTCAGAGATGTGCATGTTGGCTCCTGTAAAAGCCTCAGTTACCCATAAACCCCTTCTCCACCTTTGGTGTGTTAATTAGCTGATTTGTTGCATCAGGTGTCTAAAACCACACCAGACACTGAATATCAAGTATGAAAAAAAAACAAAAAAAAACACCAGGCAAAACACCCAGATATCCCTGAACGGGGTCCTCCATAACCAGAGATGGGAACCACTGGCCTAAAGGATTCAGAGCAAACAGTAAGGATTTCCCATAAAAGAGGTCATAGAACTCAATAGCTACAATCAGTACCTCTGTATTTTTTCTTATTTTTACTTTTTGCATAAAGTTGTTTGTGCAGTTTTTCTACAGATGTGTAACTTGTGAGATCTCACTGTTTGCATGTATGCTTGTCATTATGTTAAGCGATACAGGACTTAGGGGAACATAGGATAGAAAGCTATTAGTTTATTTATTTTTAAACAGAGTAACTTGTTTCCTTTTTATTTAATGATAGTCATATTTCTGAAGTAATTAGTATGGGCCAATTATCTAGAACAATATCATTCCTAAGCCTAGAACAGGGGCCAGCACCCCAAATGTTAAGAAGAGCCATTTTGTCCTTTCAGCAAAAATCAAACCACCTTGGGAGCCACAACATTTATGTCCATTTTACCATCTTGGCTGTAAATATGTCACTGTATGTGCTGATGTTCTAGTCTAGGCTAACAAATTTAATATGAATGAAAACGCAGACTTAGTTTACTCTGCTTTAAGCTTTAGCTCAGATATAGCTGCTTTTCTCACATCTCCAGCAGGAAACTTTTCCAAAAGTGGAACAGTTTCTCATAAAATGTCTCTCAGTGTTTGATTTTTTACGAGACTGAAGTCAGCTTCTCATTAGAATATTCCCATTCCACCTTAAATGGTGCCTGCTGAGAAGCTAATGAACAAGAAACTGACTTCAGCCTCACAACTTTTTAGTGTTTGATAGTTTCTCGTTGCAGATTAAACGTATCAGGAAACCAGCTGGACGGATTATACATGCAAATAAGTCCATTCGTCTCCAAATTATCGATGTTCGCCTTAAATCTTTCTCTTTGCCTTTCCGTTAGCTACCAGCTAGGCAAGTTTGTTGTCTGTGTTGCTATGGTGACCAGCAATCTGTATTCAAATTTTCAGGGTTAAAGGGTGAATTAGCAGTTCTACATTAACTCCAACGTTTAAGACCATTTATTGTTAAAACTGTGTTGAACGATCAGCAGAGCTTTATTTTACTGTAAAGGAGGATTATTTTATTTTATTTTTACCTACAAATCTATTTCTACTGTGGAGCCCCAACAGGGCAGTAAAAGAGCCGCATGCGACTCCGGAGCCGCATGTTTCCGACCCCTGGTCAAGACTAATATGAATTTCACCATAGACTCTTCAGTTTTACTCCAAGACTAGACTAGTCAATGTCTAGGAAACAGTTTCAGAGAACCAGCATTAAGAGCCAGTTTTCAATAGGCAGTTTAAGCCTAAACTAAGCTCTGGACTGCAGCATTACTTAATCCAAGACTAGTTTTGATCTGTCACCACAAAACCTGCCTGTCATTTTTAAACTATGTATCATAAGCTAAGCTACCACATTAACAGCCTGTTTACAAACTGTGGATGTAAGGGGGAGCATAAATACAATATCACAGTACTTAAAGACATTTTCATAATACAAGATATCGTTCACAATATTCTATTTTTCTGAGGATTGATAAGAACAAAAAGTTACCAGAAGTGCATTGAAATTAAATGCAATAAAAACTGAATACAGTGATTTTATGCAGTGTTTCACTCACTGCACTGCACTGAATCCAGTTAAACAGGACTAATTATGTTCTCGTTGTAATAAATGTGCTGTTGGTCATTATTCAAAGCACTGACGATATCCACAGTATGGTCAGACATCCATATTGTGCCATAATTCATCACAATAAGGATGAATATTGCCATGTTGCCCAGCCCTTTATGGACGTACTGAAGCTAAACTGTAAATGTGTGAAGTGGTTCACAGCAGTTTGCTGTTTTATCGTTTGATTGCGGCTGTGGGAGAGGGCTTCGGGGAGCAGGGAGGTTATCTGTGATCATCAGCGCTGCAGTGTGTGTGGGTGGGGGTGTTTGACTGATTGAGTCGCTGGATGGTCAGTGTGTTGATACTTCAGGGAGGCAGGTGAAAATGTCTGCGTGATTCAGACTTTAAGCTGCGCTTGTACAGTTGAACCTGCCCTCTGCTGTGCAGTGACTCAGGCGAAAGCTTTCTGCTTTGCACTGATGTTTTTCCCACTGTGAGCAGTTATTTATCATTGTCTAATGTCGTTGAGGTTTATTGCATGTTGGGCTGTCAGTATAGAGTTCATTAGTAATCAATTAAACTATTGATTATTTTGACAATCAAGTAATCCATTTTGAAAAAAAAGGCCAAACTGTAAAACTGGACTCAACCTCCCTCTCTCTCTCTCTCTCTCTCTCTCTCTCTCTCTCTTTCTTTCTTTCTTTGTACCTCTCTTTCTTCCTCTCTCCTCCCTCTCTATATCTTCCTTCTATTGTCCTCTTTATCTCGCTCTCTTTTTCTCTATTCTTTCTTTTCTCTGTCTGTCTGTCTCTCTCTTTTTCTCCCCATCTTCCTGTCTGTACCTCTCTCTCTTTCTCTCGCCTCTCTCTGCCTTTTTCTATATTTTTCTCTGTTTCACTCTTTCTCCCCATCCCTCTCTATCTCTCTTTTCATTCTCTCTGTAACTCTCTCTCTCATTCTCTCTTTTTCTTTCTCTTCTTTTTTGTCTCCTTTCGCTGTCTCTTTTTCTGTCTCTCTCATTTTTCTCCTTTTCTCTCCTTCTTTCTCTTGTTCTTCGTCTTTATCTCTCTCTCTCTTTTCTCTCTCATTCTTTGTCTTTTTCTGTCTTTTTTCTCCTTTTCTCTCCTCTCTCTCATTCTCTATTATCACTCTCTTGCACTCCCCCTGTCTCTCTCTCTCTGTCTTTCTTTCTGTTTTTTCTCCTTTTTTCTCTTTCCTCTCTCTCTCTCTCTCTCTCTCTCTCTCTCTCTCTCTCTCTCTCTCTCTCTCCCTATCTCTCTCTGTCTCTCTCTCTCTCTCTCTCTCTCTCTCCCTCCCTATCTCTCTCTCTCTCTCTCTCTCTCTCTCTCTCCCTATCTCTCTCCATATCTCTCTCTGTCTCTCTCTCTCTCTCTCTCTATCTCTCTCCCTCCCTATCTCTCTCTCTCTCTCTCTCTCTCTCTCTCCCTATCTCTCTCTGTCTGTCTCTCTCTCTCTCTCTCTCTCTCCCTCCCTATCTCTCTCTCTCTCTCTCTCTCTCTCTCTCTCTCTCTCTCTCTCTCCCTATCTCTCTCTCTCTCTCTCTCTCTCTCTCTCTCTCTCTCTCTCTCTCTCTCTCTCTCTCTCTCTCTCTCCACAGGGCACCATTGGGTTTGAAGCTCAAATTGATAAGTGTCTGGAGCTGTCAGAATATCTCTACAACAAGATCAAGGACAGGGAAGGGTATGAGATGGTGTTTGATGGAAAGGCAAGTTCTTATATTTCATATTACCATGTTGTGGATTTATTTATTGTAGAAATATAAATGTGTGTGTGAATAAGACTGAAAGGCTCTGAGAAACAGTGCCCCTCAGCAGTGCTACGTGCAGCCTTTAAACATGTTACTCCTCATCATGAACGCGTTCTCCTGCAAATGACAGAGGAGGCAGTCGAGGCTAATCTAAATGTAAATTATTCTTGTTACCAGCCTGTCCTCATCATGAGCTTGGGGCACTGCACTGCTCATACTCTTGCTAGTCTCAGCAGGACAAAAGGAAAAAAAAATGTTTCCTTTATATGAAATAATGTTTTTATGAAGGCCTGAAAAACCCACACAGTGTTTTGGAGCTGACACTGTATAAATAAGAATGCTTGGTCAGCTATGGGTCAGTAGTAGGGGTGTAAATCTGTCCAGTTCTTTGGGAAACGATTCAATGCATCAAAAATCTCAGATTCTGTTCCATACTATACTTGGTCGCCACATACAAATATATTGACAGCCACCCAAGTATATTTTGTCGGAATTGAACAATTTTCAATTTTCAGTATTTTATTTTGTTATATATAAACAAGGGCACACTTCATGTAACATGAGGCACAATTTCAGCTTCTTGTGTTTCAACATTTCTATAGTTCAGTGCCAAATACTCAGTAAATAAACCTCTCACTGCTGTCAGAACAAAACCTGGTATCCCCAAAGTGGTAACTTTACACGAGAAGGAAAAAACATACTTTACTTTTAATGTAAGTCAATGGAACCAGACTTTTTTCCAAGTAGTTTTGGGCCGTTTCCTTTGGTCTATTTATCATAAAATTCACACACAACATTATCATTATCAAATTATGTCAAAAAGTGTAAAATGACAAAAATGGAGATACAAGGTTTTGTTCTGACAGCAGTGATTCACCACAATTGAATACACTCAGTAATATTACAAATGAATGTGATAAACTTCCTCTGCATGATTTGAATACTGAATTAAGAGAAAAAAAATACTGAAATAATTTGGATATCTGTATATATTACTATCCCAGCCCCCCAGATGCCCCCCACCCTTCTAGATTTGTTATTTATTTCAGAGCAGTGGGAAAGAATGATCCATTATAATTAATTTGGTGCAATATAAAAATTATTCACTTATGTAAAACAATACAATAAGCTGTTCTTTTGGATTCTTTGCATTTGAAAATACTCAAACTGGTTGAAAATACGTTCAGGTTCCACTGAATGGTATTCTAATCAATTATCATCAAAAAAACTGATGCAGTTGAATTGCCACCTCCAGATCAATGCATCACGGTGCCTCACTGCTTTTCTGTACCCGTAGTCAGCAGCCATGATAAATAATAGAGTCTGGTCTGCATCTGTGTGCGTCTGTAGTCAGTCTAGTGCGTAATGGGGCGCTCTCACTGGTGCGAGAAGGCCTCTCTCCTGCCCTCTGGAGACAGACAATAGGGCTGAGTGGCTATAATGGACTTCAGCGCCTCTCTATGAGCTACCTGCTAACAGCACACACACATACATGCGTGCACCCCAGAGCAGCCAGCTGCATTGTCTGTGCATGAATTGGCCTTTTGATTGAACAGATTACACGGCAGCTTCCAAAACTGACAGGGACAATTATTCTCATTATGACCCAGCCAGTCACTACTGAGGCTAATCACGCAGTCTCTGCCTTAATGGGCTCCCTGGCGGAGGCCCTTTCCAGCCCGCGTTTGCATCTGAATGAGCTTCCTGCTTAATGGAGTGATGGACGTATGTGTTTTATGGTCGAAATGATAAACTGCTCAACCCTTACCATCCGTGTGTGTCCTTGCAGCCGCAGCACACCAACGTGTGTTTCTGGTACCTTCCGCCGGGCCTGCGCTACGTGGAGGACAAAGTGGAGAAGATGAAACGTCTGCACAAGGTGAGTGGTGTAAAAAGGGTTTCGGAAGGAAAGTGTTTATGAAAGAAAGAGAGAACGCCAAGGTCTTCCCCTTAATTGAGTTTCCTCCAGCGTACTAAACGTTTACTGAGATTTTACCCACTTAAACAGCAAGGGCTTGTGTCTGGGTCCACACATCAGTTATCGCTCTTAGAACTACAGTACCTTGCAAAAGTCTTAGGCCCCTAAGCACATTGTTTAACCTTTTCAACTCCTTGAGACCACCGGTGGTTCCAAAACGCGCTTCGTCATATTCTTCATAACTTTCATATTTCATAAGCTACATTCTAAAGGTGGGGGTCATATGAGAGCTGTAACTGTCTTCTCTCCAGTCAAATAGATGGGTGATGTAATTTTAAACCCTTATAATAAAAGAAGCTGAACTCAATTTTTTGTCTGCTGAAAGTCGACCCATTTTTCCACAAATCTGGGCTATAAACTATAAACAGATGGCGTCTCTTCAGTGATCTGCTCTGTAAAAATTATTTTTATAAAATAATACAAAGAGCGTCTAAGATTTTTGGCTTTCAGCAGTTAATTGTAAGCATATAGCAATATGTGTATGATCATAGAACACATGTTCTGTTTCTTTGAGGGGAACTTTTACAAAAAAATAAAATAAATAAAAATTTACATTTACATGCAGTTACTGAATAATTTCCCCTATGATTTGGTCATGTAAATTCAGATGGAAAAACCAAAATATATCCTGGTCAATAAGAGGTTAAAACCATTTATCTTGGCAATAAATTCATTTTTGCCTGTAAAAACGATGCTTGATCATTAACAAAAACCCAAATATAAATAAATACAGTAAAAAGTAACAAAAAAAAATCTTACTTTGAAAAAAGCAGTTCATATCTTTTGAGCTAGTTTGAAATTTGTCTCTTGATTTCTTCTCAGTGCCCCCAGCAGTCATGTTGATTTGTTAAATTTCATCACCATTTAGCATGATGATAACTCCAGATCCCATATGTCAAACACAAGGCCCATGGCCCAAGTCAGGCCCGTGACACAGTCCTATTCGGCCCTTAATTTTATATTCTTATTAGATGCACTACAGTCCCCAGCATGCACTGCAAGATAGTGTGTGTTCTGACCCCCTTCCCCCAACAACAATCTATGAGCCAGCGGTTACACAAAAAGAAAAGATGCCTCGTGTCCAGTTCAAGCAAATAGGCAGTTTAAAAAACGACTTAAAAATATATTTTTATTTGGAATTATTTTTAAGAAGTTTTCAGTGCGCATTTTGCAGTTTTGGCATATTTTGAATAAACAATGGCCCATTCAGGTCATAGAATAAAAACACAGCTGGCCCACTGGTTTGCTTAGATTTTTTAATATGGCCCTTTTAGTGGTTGAGTTTGACACCCCGGCTCCAGATAATACTAGGCTTCCTCAAAAAGAGTTTTGGAAATGGTTCAACAAACGCACTGAGGTGTAAAATTACTGCTTATTGTTTTATTTGTATTTATAGTAATACAAGTGTTTTCTGAGCAAATAAATGCTTAATGACCCAGGCTGCGATTTCCAAAAGCATCTTAGTTCAGAGATTATTCTTAAATGGTAGAGAGAAAAACACACTGAACTGTCCTTCTACATCTTAAGATGATCTAAGCTAAGATACTTTTAGGAAGTCGCTTTTGGTCACTTCCTCAGGTGCCTAACACTTTGCACAGTTCTGTACTTCAGTAAATACAATCTTATGCAAAAGTTTGAACAGCCCTGGTCAAAATACATGTTTTATTGATTTTCTTAGTGAAGTAAACCCGTCCGCTATGTTTCTGCAGATTTTAGTGCACAATTTGTATTTATTTGGTGAATTAAATATATATATATATATATATATATATATATATATATATATATATATATATATATATATAAAATGTGCCATAACGTTTGCACAGCATATGTTCTCTGTAGAGGACAAATTAACAAAATATCATTTGACCACACTGTTAGAAATAAAGGTTCTGTTCAGGTACATTTTTCGTTCATCAAGGTACAAACAATGTAAATGTTCCCTCAAAGGTACAACAGTGGTTTTAAGGTCTGATTGTGAACCTTAAATAAGTTTCTCCAGGTGAAAAGTTCGTATTTGTACCTTTTCATAACCGAATGTTTTAAAACAGAACAGTAAAATAAAAGCCTGGAGACGAGACGGGGTGTGTGGAGTCAGTACAGCTTAGAAAATATCATTTCAGTGGATTATGGTTCAGTTATGGTCCCTGAATAAAGGTACTGAGATGTACCCTTGAGGGTCCCACCCCAGTGACAAGAGGGGCACTGCCCAAGTGACAGTTTTTTTCTGAGAGAAACATTTTGCATACAACTGTATGCGTGTGTGAGAGTGTATATATATTCAGTCACTCATCCTATATTCCTATAAGATTTTAATTGTGGTCCTGTAAAGTGTTTGCTATCATGTATTTAGTTTTTATATCCTTTTTTTTAATAGACTTACGTTCACATTACCAGGCTGAAGTGGCACAAATCGGATTTTTTTGTCCTAATGTGACTCAGATCTGATGTTTTCAGGGCTGTGTGGACACGCAAATCTGATCTTTTCATATCTGACCTGAGCCACTTTCATATGTGGTCCTAGATCAGATATGTGTCCGATTTGTGGCCATGCAACCTTAATGTGACGCTCAGATCAGAATTCATGTGCTTTTTTTCCACTGCACGTGACCATCATTCAGCGTTACCATGGCAGCAGCGCCAAACAGACGTTAAAGCCTGTAAACAGTGGAAAAGCAGCTCATCTCACCTTTTTCTCCTTCGTCTCTCTAAATAGTTAATGATCTTCTCAGCGAAGCTCGTTCTGCTCGTTAGTCTGTTTGCCGATGATGCACGTGATTCATTCACGTGACGTTACTGAGTAGGATGTGCTCATGAGGGTCATTTCAGGACACCGGTTCGTTCACATTAATGACTCATTTGAATCACTTACCTAAACGAGTGTGAACCATCGTGTCAGAGAGATCGGATCTGAGCAAAAAATTGGATTTGAGCAACGAGGCTAGCAATGTGAACGTAGCCTTTGTTTGTGCTCACACAGTTCAGTTTTGGGAAACGTCTGTGTGAATGTGAAATAAAAATCTAGTGTGAAAAGTTACTTAATACATTCGTTTTGGCAGCGTAGATATTGGACTATCAATAGACTTGATTTATAAGTCAATAACAAAAACTTTCTTTTTGTATGGCTAGACTGTGTTCTAGACTTTACCCAAAAAAACAGGACAGTAATTAAATCTGCACCTTCAGGATGTTTCAGGAAATATTTTGTGAAAATCATACACAGTGTTTAGAATAGTTCACTCATTCACTATTCGCTACATTGCTTTTGCTTTGTAGTACTAACTGGAGAGCAATCATGGAACGACTGAAAGATTTAGAATTCAACACACAGAATGCCCGACACACTATATAGATAGTGTATAAGTAGCGTAATATTTCTGTAGGAAGTAAATACAAAGCGAGCAGTACACTGCAAAAAAATGATCTGGCTAAGTGACGTCGTCTTTTATCCAGTCAAAATATCTAATATTTCTCATTTTGAGATAGTTGGAAGTTTATAATAAGATTAATTAACTCATTTGTCAATGTTTTTTACTTGTTGTAAGTAATTTAAAGTGAAAGTGTTGTATTGGCAGATCAGTCTACCTATTTCAAGGTTTTTTAACCCTCCTGTTATGTTAGGGGATCAAATTGTCCCATTTCAAAGATTAAAAATACAATAAAAATATTGTAAATAATTTTGGGAGGATGAAACCTTTTCTGCTGGGGTTAATTAGTGTAATGAACATGTAAATGGAACTAAATGACCATGTTTGCAACCCCCTTGCATATTTATATTACACACAAATGTCCTATACATGTAGTCCTGTAGTTCTACCAACATTATGCATCTATACTCTCTCTGAGGTCAAAAAAGATGAGCAATATGAGCAGAAAAATGACCGCCAGCCCAGGAGGAGACATCCTTGACGAGGATAGTGAAGTAGAGAAGGAAGAGTCTGAAAATGACAGTGTCTGATCATGATGATGAGGGTATTGTGTCTGATCATGATGATGAGGGTATTGTGTCACAGCCATCAACTCCAAGAGAGACATTCATATAAAAAAATTGCAGCAAAACATGCATCAGGTCAGTTTGACCCAGGAAGGTTATTGCTGTTCCTTACAGCTGAACATGACAGGAGGGTTTAATAAGCAAAATTCAGCCAAATTATTTTCCGTTCACCAGATTTAAACCAAGCAAAAATGTCTATAATTAAGTTAAACAGCCATGTTATATTCTTCCAACAATCTCATAGTGAGAAACATTACAGACGTTGAGTAGCTTTATGATGGTATTACTTGGTAAGGTTTTTTCCACAGCGTAGACACTACATCAGGGAAGAGGGGAGGGGCCAGGATCAGGACAAACTCCTGTCATTGGACAGCAGCTGTTTCCACGGCAGCCTTTCAGCTTGGCGCACGCCCACAGACAGCAGCAGAGCTCTAATGGACAATTAGAGAAAGCAGATGGCGTCGCCGTCAGCCATATAAACACCACCCTCATTCTCTCTCTGCCCATACGGCGCTCCTGAAATAGAGCCGTCATGCTCTGCCTGTTTCTCAGACTGGACGCTGGAGTAACACAGTCACACAGGCTTTTAACACGACTCCACGTTTCTGAAAAAAGATGGACACCCAGACAAGATTAGCAGTGCAGAAAGGCTTAGAAGGAAAAGGCTATAAAAGAGAGAACCAAGGTCTCCTCCCTAACTCAATCAGTGTTTCTGCAGCACACTGAAAAATCCTGAACTTCTTCTGTGATGGAAGCTCTGTTTACATAGTCAGGCTTGCATGTGTACAGTGATGTGGCAGATGGATGTTACAGAGGCTTTGCTCTTAGACAGAAAAGCTTTCCTTGTTTCTCATGGTCCTCCTCGTGCTCAGGCCATCACCTCATCTGCTGCAGACTGGATAGG